TTCTAACAAAGGACTAATTTCTAATCAAGGTTTGTATTCCATTAATTTAGAGTTTCTTTGTCTGGTCTTATTGTCCGGGTTTTCTGATGTCTCTATTTAATTTGGCATGATATAGTATTATGTTTGTTTTTAATATTATGTGGGCACTTCCATAAAAATTAAATACTATACAGGATCTTTCAAATTATTTGTTACCGTTTTGAAAGTGAAAGTACTCATATCCCTGTTCTCAAAACTATAATATACAATTTGAATGACCTGTATGTTATAAATTACAATATTGAGTTCTTATTATTATGTTTTGCAATTGAACGATCGCAATTATTGTATAATTTAATTATGTTTATTTCGCGATTACAATTTTGTAAATAATGTTGCCTATATAACTCTTGATTTGTACTTCTAATTGTTTAATAAGTTGCCTACTCTACAACAAAATAATAATTTTTTAATCAATAAAATTCTATTGCAAACGTCTAATTTTGTACATAAGTTGCCTACCCAGATCCTGAAATTGTATAAAATGATTGCCCATCTTATTTTCGAAATATTCTGTTGCTGTTTAAAAAAATATTTTTATATCAAACATAATAGGTATACACAAAAATAATGCCAATATTTTATTCTAAGTTTTAATATATGTTTGTAAAATTAACTATAAAATAACATTTGTATTTTATTAATTCAGGGACTTAGTACTAACCTATAATAAATTAATGTCATTATTAATGACAATTATAAGTAGTTTATATCCATTAAACAATTAAACCATTTTGAAACAAAATATTTTGTATTAATTTTTAGATATATAATATAACATGGGAATTGTAATTTTTATGAGGATGTGGAAAAGTTATTTTTAAAGATATTTTTTTAACAAGTCATCAAATAATATCAATAAACTTCTATCTTTTTACTATATTTAATAATATAATATATTATATCTAAGGTTTTTAGTATTTATTTAATGTAACTGTTACTTGGAAATTGAATAACATTAATATTATTTTTAGACAAATAGGTAACTGTTTGTATAGTTGTATTGGCCAAATAGACATCGTGATTATTTCATATTATATCCAAAACCCATTATAAATCTATACATATTTTGTATACGATATATACACGTTATTTTATTACTCTTTTTTGTTCAATTTAATTTGTCAAAACTGACTTGTACACCATGAAACAATGACCGTTATTGAATTGTTTGATGGTCACCTATTCATTTAGTTATTAATACAACAAAATAATTCTCTAATTTTCATACTCAGCCACTCAGCTATGATAAAACAAAGTACCTATAGTAATAAGAAATGTCTAACAAATGAGAATTTATAAATAATAAACATAAACAAATTAAAAAAAAGTTGACCAAAGTTCATATTAATAAATATCGGTACTCGTTCCAGGGATAACCTGAAATGCACAAGGGTATGCAATAAAAAATATTTTTTTATGTATATAATTTTATTTTATATATAATATATTTATATATTATACATATATATTTAATGTATATACAAATTTTAATTAATATCTATCAATTTATTCAGTCTTGGAATTAGAAACAGGAAGTTTTCATTTACTGTTCTTTACCAAACAACTGAAATTTTGGAATTTAAATACAATGATAATGGACTGTACTTCAAATTGTGATTTTTAGCTCAATACAGACAATTTATAACAAATAAATTGTTATCCCTAATAATAGTATTTTTGTTTTCATCACACAAAAACATGTTCTTTTTTCAGTTTCCAGTAAAAATCTAATAATTATAATTTGTTTTGTAGATGAACTATAAGGTGGACACTGATTAAAACATGGGTGTCATAAGTATTACACAAAAACATTAATATAAAAATTCATTTTTTTTTTTTTTTTATTTCAAATTAAACCTAGGTAGTTTGAAATTATATTAGTATTGCCTACACCACTTCAAAACCTTTATGTACACCCATCCCACTAATCTTCTTATTTTAACTTGATGTAACAGATTGTTGATTTGTCAAAATTAAATATATAAAAAGAAAAAAAAAAAGTATTGCCTCAAATTAATGATTAGGTACTCATAAGTAAGCAATCATCAGTATAAGTCTTACATTTTATTACAGGTGTGTACAGTATAACATGTAATGTAAGGTATATTAAATTTATTATCAATATAATATTGTTAATTGAAATAAGTAATTGATACAATAGTAAACAACGGAAAGATAGGTAAATAATAATACAAATATTATAAAAATATTTACTGTTTCGAAATTTCACTACATTATGATAATAATAACAAAATATTATTTGTATTTAAATTAGGTACTTATACACAAAATCTAAACGTTGTAGATCGCAGATGAAATAGAAAGAAATATTATTCTTACCTATGATTATATATAAAATGTAATGAACATAAATACCTACTAGCAGGTGGTTAAATAGGTAACTCTGTAATTAATTGCCAGCAGTATTAAATAATACATAATTAGTTATTGTTTGAATTTGTCAAAAACATTGAAAAAAAAAATGGAAAAAAGTATAATACAGTAGCTAACTATGATTTATAATTATAAAAATATTAAGCACAGATATTATGATGTTCAATTTATAAAATTAAAAATGTTCTTTTGAACAAAGCCATAGCATCAACAACTAAGCAGTAAGCACGAATTTCTAACTGAACATCCACAGATAATTTCCCAAGCTGGTAGGTAAGGTTAGTAAGTAGGTAAGGATAATGTTTAAGGATTTTTTATATCACATTATTAGTATCAAATTTTCAAGCATTTTTGTTAAGTCTAACCATTTATCCTCTATAGATAAACTAGATTCACTAACTAGATTCAAAATTAAGAACAATTAAATTAAAATTAATTAAAATTAAATTAAAACAATAAAGGTCTTGTGGTTTTTTATTTATTGGAGCAATATTTATCATAGCTGTACAAATTGTATATAATACATAAAAGTACGTAATTTAAAAAAAATCATATATTTCTTATTTTTTTGGTTTTCCCAATTATTATGAAAAATACTATAGATACAAAAAACCACTTTCTTCGTCAGTGACAATAATATAGTGCAAGGAACAAAATCCATCTTCTGTCATTTTTCGACTTGAGTGGTTTTTCTGGTAGAAAACTTAAGTATAACTTATGAAATCAATGAAAACGGTAACGCTGTGGCGATGGGTTGTTGTAAATATTTGCCGTTTTACGATACTTTTATTTTGGGTTTTTCCCGATTATTTCGAAAACCCCTTAGAAAATCAAAAATTGAATCTCAGTGCACCAACTAGAGCAAATTTCCTTTTTGAAAAGATGCTATGGTCTATACTTCGGAGCAAGATTTCTGGTATACAAGAGGTTCAGATAGAAAAAAAATAAAATAAAAACACTCACAGTAAAATCAATAGATCACCGTTACACACCAAACCTAAAATTGATGACTTATTGAATGCATTCTCTATCTTATCCGAAGAAAACAAAAACTTCAAAGAAAAATTTAGTAATCTAAAACGCAGAATTGAAAATAATGAAAAGTTAGCTACAACAAATGGAAATAAAGAAGACATTATATTAGAATTAATTAATAGACAATTGCGTGCAAACAATATCATTGTACCTATTTAATTTACTTGAAAACACAAACCAAGATCAATCACAGATCACGATAAACCTAATATTATGTTGAATAATATAATGGCTGCAAACAGTGGCGTAATATTTTTTTTAGGGGGGGTTCCGGGTGTCGACCTTCAGGAAGAAAAAAATATGGTTTAAAAGTTATATATTATTTGCTGTGAAGGTATAGAGAAAGAGAATATACAGAGTGATTTTTTTTTTATCATGAACAAATAAGTACCTCGGGATTTATAATATTATAACATAACTTATTTTTTAGAAAAATTTTAACCCCCCCCCCCTCACAAAAAAATTGAAAATACGCTACCGGCCGCAAATATTTCGAATTTTAATAAATACTAATAATATTCTGACATAAGCCAGTTAATGGAGTTGGCTGAAGTAAATATTTTCTTTTTACTTAAATTTTCTTTCGGGTTTTTTCAAATTATTTCGAAAACTACTTTGAATATTACAACACGAATTACTTTGTCAGTGATGAAATGTTATAAGTAACAAAATCAATCTCTTATAATTTTTCGATTGGAGCAATATTTCTGGTAGAAAATATCGTGATGACATAATAAAAATAATAAAAACGATAACGCCGAGGCGTGCCGTAAATATTTGCGTTTTACCTATATTTTTTTTCCTGTTTTTCCTGATTATTTCGAAAACCCCTTGAAAAATCAAAAAATGATCTCCTCAATACATTAACGAGGAAATATTTCCTTTCAGAAAAGGTGCTATAGGCTTCACTATATACATATTTACGGCACATTATTATGTTACCCTTTTCATTGTTTTTAATATGCACGATGTTTTCTACCAGAAATATTGCTCCAATCCATAAATTATATGAGATTGATTTTGTTACTTGTAATATTTCGCCACTGACAGAGTAAGTCGTTTTTCGATATCTTAGGTGGTTTTCCTAATAATTGGGAAAAGCCAAACAATTAAAATTAATTAATATTTACGAAAACGTAGCGTCAATTTTATTAGGCAATAAAAGATTCGTTATTGAAAATCGGATCTCATTACTTAAATTTTGTTAATTCAATTTGCGAGTTATACATAATTTTATTTTGAAATGTCGAATATGTTGTGGGCTGGGGGGTTTGTTGCGGGGCATTCCCCCCGTGATCCCTATCGTAAATAATTTCGGCGCTCCCGAGTTTTAGGCTGAATGTGCGCCAACAGCGCTGTCCGAATCAAAAATCACCGTGACGCGCGTACCCGCACCCCCTCGCCGCTTTCATCCACCGGGTCGCAGGACGTCGTCCCGGCCGGACGGACGGGCCCACGGCTACGGCGGACGCGCATCGTTTCTAGCCGAGATCACGCGCTCGTCCGCACGAACACGAGCCCGCGTCGGCATGCGGCGTCGGCGGTATCGGCGGCGGCGGCGGCGGCGCGTACACTGTTCCCCACCACCGCCGCAGCATCGCCGGCCGACAGAACCGGTTTTATTTTTAGCGATCGGTCCCGCCGACGACGACGACGCCGCAGCCGAGACAGCCGCCAGTAGCGCAACCGCAGCAGCCGCACCAGCAGCCGCGCCGCACCAGCGTTTTACCGTGTTTCAACAGCGCGACACCGCCACCGCCACCGCCATCACCACCAGCGGCAGCAGAAGCCGGCGGTACACACGCTGCGGATCGTCGAAGCAGCAGCAGTATTCCGCGCAGCGCACCCGGTAAACGAATTCGATATAGTTTGCTATTAACATAATGTTATTAAAACGGTCGTTGACGGCCGGAAGCGGCCGTGACGACGTTGTCGTCGCCGGCGTCTCCGGCCGGGCCGATGACGCGCCACCGCCGAAACGCCCGGCCGAAAAGGTTTTTTTTATTGGCGGCGACGGCGCGGAATTAATAGCGCCCGCGGCCGTAACAATAACCTAAGGCCACCTGCGACGGTGGCAGCAATAAAAGCGTCCAAAGGAGCGTACCCCTTATTATACAGGGTGATTATTTTATCGCGACCGGCATTTAAAACGAGCGAATTCGAATGAATCGGATGTTCCGCGGCGGCGGTGTCGTCGGCCGCGCAGAACCTTTTATTACTGATTAGAAACGTTTTCCCGATTTCGCGCCCGTACTCAATTTCGCGGATACGCGTCATATCGATGGGTCGGCGCTGTGTTATGGTTGGTACACACCGTTGCTGATTCGGAAACAGTCTACCCGTAACGTTCGAATCGATTCCCGTCCGGGAAATCAAAGCGCGCGACGTAAACGCCGAGCGTACAATACCGCGGCCGCGCGAGTCGTAGCACAGAGTTTGGAATTTAGGCCGGAGGTCGTCATCGCAGGGAACGACGACGGCTGTTCTAAATATGGATACGAATTTTTTTTTTTTTTTCACCATTCCGTACTGTTCCGGCGTAAAAGACGTCCGACCGTTTTTAGCGTGGTCGCGCGTATCGGAATTCCTGTAGAGAAAATATTCTCTTCGAGTTCAAACAATACGGATACTACAATGGTAGGCACGCGTTCGCAACATTTCCAGTACCCGTAGGTGCCCGGATAGTGGTTCGCGGTAAGCGTGCAATGAACCGCGGTGGCGTAGTCGGGGTTTTTTTTTTTCTAGGGTGGTGTTTTTATGTAATGTTTGAATGATTATTAATATTATTACGCCGTGTCTTGGCTGAACGCGATTTTGCGAGCGACGAGATTGGTTTGCACGAGTTGCATCAGTTGTTAAAATCGCCCGCGTCCAAAAACAAATAGTTTTGTTTCGGCGCGAGCGATAATATTGTTATCGCCCGATCGCCCGCTTCGTTAAACCATCCAGTTAGGACATCCCAATTCTAAAAATAATGTTTAATTATTACCGCGTCGCCCGCCCGCCCGCTAAATCGCGTTCAGCTAGGACACGCCGTTAAACTCATCGATGTGCTACACACGTAGAAATCTGACGCGCAACTGTGCAGGCGTAGGCGAAAATTATGATTTTCGGCATAAATACGGTCAAGTGGATGGGGGGAGGTGGTAGGGGGCGTTTGAACACCAAAACACCGCCCCTCGCTAGGCCGCTGCAACAAGGGTACGGGACGTTTCGAAAATCAAAACGTCGTAGGCGCTGTGGTGCGCAACGCGTGCAGGTAAACGCCAGAATTATTCGCGATTCGAAGGGAAAAACGAAAACGCCGTAATCGTTCGAGGCCTTTGTCTTGTCATTATTAATAACAATATTACGATGCATGCGAGTGATGGCGGCCGGTTCGCGGCAAAATGATCACCCTGTATCGCATAAACGTCGTACTTTTGTTGCGTACGAGAATATTATTAACAACGTGCTGCACACACATGTTCAGTATACGGTCGCGCGCGACTCATGTGGCCTGCACGTTTCTGTTACGGTCCCTCCGAACTATTTGGGTACACTCGGGAATAAACGCACGTGTGTGCGTGAGTGCGTGCGTGCGTGCGCGTTTGTATATTATAATATTTTGTACACGTGTGTGTGTGGTTTTTTTTGTTTTTATAGATGACTGGCCGACGACGGTGCGTGTAGCAAGCGATTAAAGCGAGAAAAATATGGACGACTGCGCGACGACGACCCGGTCCGTCCTGACATTGTTGGTGCTCCTCTTCCTGTCGGGTAAACTATTTGATTTTTTTCATCAATACATCCGCAGCGCACCTACCGATACCACGGTTTATACAATTGTTTGGCTCGCAGACGAATCGGGCGGCGGCGGCGGAGTGGCCGGCCGGGAAACGGTAATTTTCCGGATCGCCCCCCCCCCGGTCCGCGGTTCACGGTTTTCGACCGACGACGATTTGTCGGTTTTGTACAATGTATAATTATTGTTATTATTGTTATCGCTGTTGTAACATTATCCCCCGTCGGTATTGCCGATCCGTTTAAAAGTCCGGCGGTCGACCGGTTTTTTTTTCCTACCAACTTATCTCGAAAAATGAATCATTTTGTATTTAAAAAAAAAAAAAAAATAATAATAATTTTATTTCCTACGTAAATAGAGAGAGAGTGAGAGAGAGATAAATGAATGAAACGATTTTGAAATTATTATTTTTTATTTTGAAATATAATATTTTAACGACCGAAACAAATTATTATTGAAAATATTGACCATACAATTTATGTGCCCCAAACAAATTCAATAAATCGATTCGTTTGATATTTTATTGGGGAGGAGGGGTGTATGTCGGGCGGTCCGGATAAATTCCAATCCGCCCCTGACTGATTTCGGTTTCCACACCCAAATCATATTGTACACTTCATGTAAGTGTTATTAGAGTGCGCTTTTATATGCGTATATAACATTTCATTTCTCACAGTACGTATACGTGATATCTTTAAAATAATGTCGTCCACACGTGTTTGGATTTAAAGTATTACGTGTACTGGGATGGGACGTATACGAACTTTTTTTTTTTATGAAAATTGTTTAGGTGTATTTTTTTTTTTTCGGAACTTGTTAGTGTTTTAAACGCGAAATTCCCGTTCGCACGGTAATGATGAAAGACGTTTTATACTCCGCCTAACTGAGTCTATAATGTATTTATTATAATATTTGGGAACGAAAACACACGTTTATAAAACATATAAGAACCTACCATCAGTACCATTTATATGTTATAATATTATACACCGTGGTTTCGATTATAGCGGCACAAATAGAATTCGTTTTCGGGAATGGCGGAAAAGGGTATGAATTTCTAGTCAGTTAATTATTGAACATGTGACGTATGTACGGGACGTACACGTATTTGACTTTTGTAGTAATTTATTACAATACAAAATTATGCGACTATATGTCTGTACGCAGAATTCGTAAACAATTTTTCAATTTTCAGGAGAGGGGAGATCCGTAATCTCTTACCCTCCATGGTTGCGCCATTGAACGAATACATTTTTAATCGCTCCGAACGAACGACAAATCAATTTCACTTATCGGGTCTATATAGGGTTGGTATCCGCTAAATGTTCTGATTTGTGAATAGGTAAACGAATAAACTGGTATAAAAAATATTGTAAATTAACAATAAGAATAATAATATAAAGTCCGATAACGATCAGTCCATTTTTTTTTTTTTTTTTAAATATACGTTTAATTGTCTATTCATAAGCGTTTTAGTTTCTGAGCGAAGCCAGGAATTTATTTGTTTAACAATAATGTTTATTTTGTTTCTTTTATCTGTGAATAACTTTTCTTCCAGAAATCTTGTTCCGATTTTCAAGTGTAGCACTTTTTGTGATAGTACTTTAAGGAAGTTATTTTTTGATTTTCTCAGGGGTTTTCGTAATAAATGGAAAAAAAACTGGGAATAAATGTAGGAAAAATGAAAAAAATTATGATATGTGTTATTTTCAAATCGTACATATTTCGTCCTTCTAAACGCGTGTAACCAAACCCTGCTCAGAATTGTTTTTTGTTAGCAATGTTTAATCTTTTTATGTATAGGTGAGGTAGGTAAATTTCTTCTGTAACTCCCCGAATTCTCACCTATAACAGATAACTGTGACCCATCGTGCGAAATATGTCCGGCTTTTTTTTTTTATTCGTCTTAGCACGTATTAGGTACGTCAACTTCCGGGTTATAAGAAATTAAATTTTTTTTTCGTATCGTGGGCCCTGAACGTTTACGACTAACAGTCAACAGTTATCTATTAATAGTTTGATCAGTTTTTGATTTTTATATTTAGGAGCCTATTCGCACGGCTTGTCTTTTCGCTCAAATTCTCGTGCATAATAAGTCCCATATAATAATTTGTTATAGTAATCATTCGATTTTGATGATTTCATTTTTTTGGGTTGGAAAGAGGAAAACTTACGGACGTATATTAAATTTGAGTTATAATAATCATACTTCTAAACCCAATAATTAACGTTATAATTTCGATAATATTAATTCATACGCGTAAAAAAAAAAAAAAAAAAAAACAAAGAAATAAAATAGAACATTTTCAATTCCAACAAATAGCTCGAAAATCATCAGAATGTTTTGAAAATTTGCCTAAAGGTCTATAAAAAAAGTCTATTATAAGTATTCTGCGAAAATGTCCGGTCTCTAAACCGAATTACAGGGGGAAAAAAAAAAATCGAAAATAATGAAACCGCTTGTTGTAGCCGTAAATGTTGATGTTTTTCATTAGTTTTTTCCGGATTTACACAATTATTAAGAAAATTACCTTTCCAATGCACCGACCAAAAAGATGCTCGGTTTGGAAATCAGAGCAGTACTTCTGGTAGAAAAGTCACTGACACAAAAATATGAAGAAAAGAAAACACACGCACACTTCACATGGTAGTAAAACCAATATACATTCTTCGCTGCGCTCTAAACATACAAATTATCGTCATTGGAGTTTTTTTTCTTTTTGTAAATCATGTTTTTGAGCGTAAAAACATGTCACGTGCGGCCCGCCCGTGCAAGTCCGTTTCTATTCGCGTATTTTGTTTGACTCGCGAATGACGACGGTAGGAAATTATATTTTTAAATCGTTTTTTTTTCTACCGAAAATACGGTACCTACAATAATAATAATAATAAAAAAAAAAATGTATAAATTACGTGAATCTCGCCGTATAGCGTAATATTTCTAACGAATAATATTGTATGCTATTTTGGGTACGGACCGCCAGTCCGTCAGCATCGACCGTATCGAGCTTGTTATCTATTATTAATTGTATTATAATAAATACTGGCACAAATAATACAAATAATACACGGCTAGGTAACGAAATACTCATTTTTTTTTTTTTTATGCTTCCTCCTTTAACTTTTTCTCACTCATCCGCACCCCGGGTAGGTGTATGAAAAAAAAAATTATACTAGTATACGCCAGTAGTTCTACGCGACGACCGTTAAATCATTTATCGTAAATACTAAATAATATAATACCTATATTATGGTTATTATTAAAATTTTGAATGAATTATTATTTATTAAATATTTTATACGCGATTAAAATAATGATGGAAAAAAAATAACGCTTTGAAATTCATTCATATAACATATATATTGTATACAAGATACGGGCGTATATAAATGTGATTGATAATATTTTAATAAAATATATGTGTTGTGCGTGTTAAATCATATTTCCTCTAAACGAATATGATAATATTGCGTGTGAATGTACGTACGTATATTATAACATCATTACAATATTATCTGAATATAACATTCGTTTGAAAATATTTTATCATGATACGTTTCCGGTCGGAGTAAAACGTTAATAACAATAGCTGTTACATTAGTGGTGAACAACCGCCGCGGGTATTCTCTCTCTCTCTCTCTTTTTTTATATATATATATACACATTAAATATAATAATTTATCTAAATGTGTGTATATATTATTTTTTTTTAATGAACTGTAAACGAAATCCCGATAATGTCTATAATTTACAATATTTTACTATACATGATATTATACTACTATATTTTCGAAAAATTATTTCATACACACAGAGGTTGTGATGTGCCCTGGATAAACACCCACAGGGTATTTAAATATTTTGGATATTTGCCCACCTGAAAATCGGGTAAATGATTTTTTACTATCCTAACGGATAATTAATTAATAAATTACGTTTCTATAGAGTAATCAACATAACATAAAACGTTCGTTAAATCCGAAAGTGTTAATTTTTTTTCGGATTTTGGTTGTTTAGAAACAAGCAACTCAAAACGAGACTGTGGGTAATAAAAATGTCTTACGTTTTGCTGATTACTCTGTGTATAGGAGTAAAATTACATGGATTTTCGAATCGTGACAGTAAATAAGTAATTGCAATTTGTTGTAACGAATCCGACAACCGGAATAACCGTTTTTTGTAATATTTCGGTAGGTTTTCGTACGAGTATGTGGGAATAATAGAAAATAATTGAGAAAATCATATAGGTAGGTAGTTGGAAATAATTAGAATAGATATTACATTAGATTATACAGTTTGATATTTCTTGATTTCGATTGTGATTAACAATGTCACCGACTTAAACCGCAAACGGTTTGACATTTTCGTCGTAAATAGAGGGAGAGCTTGTATCCCGCGATGCAATTTATTTCATCGACCCGCGGGTAAAATTTATAATTTTGATAATGATAAAATAAAAATTTATTGTAACATTCGGAACATATGTCATATTATATCCATCACAATTGTACGCTCGTTGTCCTAAAACTATACATAATATTTTCTTAAATCATTTTTCTTACGTGCAGTACTTACATACCTACTATTATGTTATACTATGGTATCAGCTAGTGCGTATCATATTGTGCGAAACAAATTTGTTCCGTGTGCGTTATATTTTTTTGCTGGTACGTGTTGCGGCTACTAAAAGACAAATTAACGTTGTTGAATGCCCCGTTTTGAAAGATGATTGTGCTAAACTATACTGTTTTATTTTTTATTTTTAAACGTATAAATAGTTGGTACCTTTTATGTTTAATTTATAGAATATACATGTGTATATATATATAGGTACCTTTTACAAAACTCAGCGGTCAGTAACAAAATACCTAAATAACAAACCGTCTTAAATATAATGTCAATACAATTTGTTTAGACCCAATAATAATGAATAAATAATTAAAAAAAAATGAAGATACTGAGTTTGGAAATATGAGATAAGCTAAACAAAACTAATATATTGTATTTATACATTTCCATTTTATCATTCAATCTGCCCTAAAATATGATCACTGAAATCAAATCCATAGGTATTAGTAATTATTATTATTAGTTTATTTACTATTTATAGGTACTAATCTAATCGTCTCACATTATAGCGATTCGGATGAGTTTCGTTTTAAACAAAAGAATGTATTAACTAGGTACACGTTTTTGATTTTTTCTTAATAAAAAGTATAGTATAGATAGTCAAATAAAATAATAGATAAATACCAAAAAAATTTCAAGAGAGGGGATGTAACTGCCAATCTCTTCCCTTAAGTACGTCACTATTATCTAAATAGATATTAACGTTTATGGGTATGCGTATTATGGTGACGGTTTTCAACATTTTCTCCAATTCTCTACATTTTAATAACTATATTTACATTTTAACGACCGTTAAAAAAAAAGTATAGGAATTTCATAGACCGAAGGAACATAATAAGAAAATAGTAATAATTTGTTGCTCGTCAATTTGTTAGCGGTCCTCGATAGAATATTAAAATTATTATAATATAATATATCTGTTGCCCATTCGCGATGTTTATTATCACCGATGATAAATAAAAACCACCGGAAACCGGATATTATTGTATCGTGTTTAACAATCTCGTCGTATACAAAATGGTAAATTGTATAAATATACCTAATGTTATTAAAATAAATACAAATATAGAACAAATACGATATTATACAAAGCATATTATTAATATTAAAGTAGACGATGGGTTTCAACCTAACCGACTATAAGTTTTCGTTTTAAACGCGTTTACAATAATTCTGTTGCATCTCGCGTTTTACATTTTTTCCTGTATTGTTTCACACTATACATAAAATTAATAGTTGTGATTATTATAGGTAGGTAGGTGTAGGTAAATTATAATTGTCCATCGGTTCAATCGTGTTATTACGAGTACGGATTTTTAGATAGATAAAAATGTATAGATAAATATAATTCAATTATTACCTAATATAGACATACTATAACAGTGTGTAGCATACATTCTTATGCCAAACACTTTTACGAACGTAGTTGTGTAAATTATAACCTAACCTATTATAATATGTCGGTTTGTTTTTTATTTCTGTGCAAACTTGGTGTTCAACGTTTTTTTTTCATCCTCCCCTCCATTCCCTCCCCGTCCGCCAGTTAAAAAAATAGTACCCGATATACTGTACGTAGATAGGTATACTGTATATTAATATTTTGTGATAACACAATATTGGACTTCCGCGAATTGATATAAGTTTTGCTACAGTGGCCAGTCGGACACTCGGCGCAACGGCATTGGACTACGGTATGGTGCGCGGCCGTTGGCCCGTACGTTATTTTTCGTTGATAACCTTTTTCGTCTTCCGTCGAAAACGTGTTTTAAAATTTTTCATTGATCTTGTATTATATCATATAATATGTTAGTCTAATTTTTTTTTTTTATATATATATTTCATCAATCCGAATATTATGATACAATGAAATATAATCGAATAACTACAAATTAAAATAAATCACCTAAAATGTTTTCAATATTTATATATTATATGTACCTATATGATAATCTCGAGATAAGATAAATTGTAAGTAGGTATAGGATCAATATTTCTAGGTACATACTAAGTATAGGTATTGATTGAAATAATAATAATATAAAAAAAAAAAATTATGTTTAATGGTACTCTTTATAAAAAAAAAAAAACCACGCATAGACTATAAAATAGAGGTAGGTATATAATATAGATACTAAATTACAAATTCGTTTTACAAACGATTTTAAAGAAGACATTTTGTTTCGACATCTATTTGTGTTTGTTTTTATATAGGTACCTTACGTTATATCCGCACGTTTTAAAATGTTCAATTATTTGACACCTAAATCGATTCTGGTTTTAACATTGTGCTTAGTTAATTAATTGTATTCACATAATGTATTGTATTGATTGCTTTTAATGGTACGGTGTACATTTTAGTCGATTTAGACTTAAAAGCCGGACAAAACTGTCGGTATTATGTTTGACGGATTTTAATTTAAAAAACGGCCGTACCCATTCCCCTTATAAATGGAACAACAGATTAGCGAAAGTCTTATTATGAAAATGGTCATTGAACGTAACAATTTTTTTTAAATTTTACTAAATTGGAAAAAATTTGGAAAATTGTTTCCAACCTCTTAACTGATTTTAAATTTATTATTTTGCTGAGTACTAAGTACATTTATAATATTAATGTAGGCGTAAATTATTATTACAGTACATAACATAACATATTTAGGTATAGGTATACTTATTATCCCGTGATCCGATTAGCAGGTTTAACAGTTACGTAAAATAACCATTATATATTTGATATACATTTATTCCATCAAGGGAAGGTTAGACTGTTACAAAGTAATAATATTTAACAAATTAAAATAATTGATGGATCTCCTCAAAAGCCAATGGCTGTGCAATAGGAGAGATAGTTTCACTAATTATAAAAGTTTAATTATTATATTAAGCTAATAAAAAAAAAGTTGATTAAACTAATCGAAATAAATAATATTGAAAAATATACATAATTGTTCTTAAATTGAAATTTCATATAAGATAATTGATTGAATAAGTACTATGTATGTTAATCTTTTTAGTTTGGAATTTAAGATATTTGAGTGATTTTAAAATGTAAAATCGTTTTTTTAACATATTTTTTACATAATTAATATGAACATTTGATTTTAAGTTTTCATTAATGAAAATATCTAAATATTTAAATGAAGTGATGCGATTCAATATAAAACAGCTAGTTGCATGTACCTTTTGAGTTGCTATTGTTAAGATAGCTATGAAAATGAACAGTAGTTTATTAATTTAGTAATTTAATTAAATGGTTATTTAACACACACACACATATTTCTCCAGTTATAAGGAGGCCGGCCACTTCCAATACACACAGTGTATGTATTATTCCCGTTGCTTTTGGACAGATGATCACAAGCGAGTGTAAAAGACTACGCAGAGATTCTTACAAAAGCACGGGAACCTAGAACAGTGTTTTGTATTTTAAAAAAAAATTAATAAAATAGAAACAGTTATTATATTTAAATCTTTTTATTTACTACGGTCACCTATATCAAATTCAACCGATCAATTTGCCGCCTGAAGAAGAAAGGTAATCAAATTTATAATTAATTTATACGTGTGAATCGATTTTATATAACTAGGCACCCCCCGCCTTATTTTTGAATTACAACAGTATTACCTTAATTAGGTAGGTATGTTTTTGAACAATAGTATACAAAGATTTGTTTAAGTTACATTTAAAATACAGTTATTATGATACTTCGGTACATATTATAATATAGTCAAAATATTAAGTTATTAAATATAAAATCTAGCTTTTAACTCTAATTTCAAAACTGAGAACTGATCGCCACATCCTAACATATTTTAATTTTTAAAGTGTGTCAAAATCATTCAGATTGATACATATGCCAAAATAAATTTGATAAATTGGGAAATTAATAAAAAATCTGAAAGTCTTGGTCAGAAATGTATTAAAAAAAAAATCAAACAATATCTGGAAAAAAAATTGATTTGCTGTCATTTGTGAAATGTGAATTATATAAATATTTATTTGTATTTATTTTAATTACCTACATTATAATGTGTAACTATCATAATAATTGTATTTTAAATACAAAAACTTATAAAAATATTTGTATACTATAATTCAAAAACATACCTAATTAAGAGTTTTTTTTTTTTTATCTGTTTAATTCCCGACCGTAACTCGGTATCAACCCAAATTGTGACTATGCTTGATATTATTTAAAATAACAAAAGAAAAAAAAAAGCAAATACCTACTGAAATACTCAAATAATTTCAGATGATATACGATTCTGCACAATGTACCTTTTTTTCTACACGATCCCGTACATTAGTCGTAATACAAAAGATTTTTTCTATGTAACACAATTTCGCATACAAAATGCTGTAGCGTTGCCAATTATAGTAAAAAATATTTATATAGGTAATTATAATATTAATTTTAATCAAATTTTAATTTAATATAAATAAACGAATTAGTTTATATACCTGATAAAACAAATAATTAACTAAAAATTAAGTATATAAAAAATATATAGTAAAATGTCAAAAAGTAAATAATAGGTATTGATTATTTTTAGTCAAACGCTAAAAAAGATTTAATTAATTAAAAAAATTACTATTGTTTTCCTTGATACCTACTTCTGATAAAAATTGAATGATATCATTTTTATAAGATTAATACTTATTGTATGCATTTATCGTGAATTCCATACGTTCTTTTTCTTTTGCGTTCAAAATTTTCTTATCACTATGTAATTTAATCGATCCGATTTTAGTTTCAGTTTCCGACTGAAAATCCATCAATACTTTTAGGACTAAATAAATATGTGGGGGAGGGTAGTAAAATTGGGCGTTTTATGCACGATGGAAACTTTCAGAAGTATTAGTTTTCCTATAATGTAGGTAATTAATAACAATTATTATTCACAGAAATATTAATGTTGATTCAACTAATGTTACCTTGGGTTCACTGATGGCTTTTCTGCCACAATTCTGGTGAAAATAAGCATTCATCTTCAATGTAATTTTTCAAAATACATTCAAAGAACAAATATCCTACATCGTTGGGGTAAACATTTGTAAGTTCGGTGAATGCTTCATTTACTGCAAGGAAAGGCATAGCGAAAAATTGCTTCAACCATTTTCCAAGTTCATCATTTGAATCCATGTGTGCTTTTTTTAAAACTAGATTCACTTTGTATCTATAAACAATTAATAACATAAATAAATAAATAAAAAAAAAAATACCTATACATATAAATATATATTAATATTGTTTACCTTACGCCCCAACATTGTCTTAAGTGAAATCTGCAAGACATTATTTTTACATTCAGGAAAAACGATAGCACTGCTTTATGTGCATTGATTTCAAAGTCCAAATATATTTTTTTTAATATCTAATACTTGATCGCTACAAATTTATAGAAAATAATTCCATAAATCTACGTAGGTATTTTGAGTTTTATCTTTAAAAAAAAAATATACTAGTGGTAAATAAAATCCATTTTTATAACTATGTATTGTGATATATGTTTTATAATTATATATTTGTAAAAAAGCTTAGGTGAATAATTAAATATTCTGTCACAAAATAATTTTGAACAAAATTGAGCCAAGAAATTAATGTTTTGAACAGTTGTAAGGCAAATAAAATTAGCATCTGCTGGAGCATAAATAAATTGTTGATTTTTAAAATAAAACATTTATCAGTTTTTAAATTCCTTATTTGTTGTAAAGCATCATTTAAGAATATTAGAAGTACAGGATAATATTTTCTTCGTTTATCGAATATTGCTTTATTCACAGATCTGTCATGGTGTCTTATTTCCAATGATTCTGGAGTTTCGAGTAACTCTATCCAAATAATTTTTAGAAGTTGGGTAGAAATTAATTCCTCTGCTCGTCACCTACGATTTTCTCTTAGTACTTGTTTTTCGATTTTATTAGAAGTGTTGACCGGATGATCATGCACACCTTTTGAGTCTTGCATTATTTTTTTTTTTCAAAATTTGAAAAAATAAACGGAGTGCAATTTTTATCAGAAGAGCAGCGCCATTTTAAAAGTTTATCGCATTTACGAACATCGATAAATCTATGTTTATATCCATTTACATCAGCTAATTCTTTATTTTTTTCCGAATAATACGAATTTCTAAATTATTTATTTTATACAATTTAAAAGAACAAAAATATGTCATCGCAATATACGTATTACGATCAGTGATTGAACAGGTAACTGACGAGTCTAGATAAAATGTATACTGTAGAATGTAAACTATTCAGATAATCCTAAATTTGAAAGTTTCAGCAATTTTAAATTTGAATATGCTGTATTAAGAAATATTTAAACTGGGTGACTTGTTAGTTAGATGCGTGTGTTATTTGCGTACTGCATATAATACAATATATTTTTGTGTATCGCTTTTTATTTTGTTATTTATCGTTTGTATTTATTTGATTTAATATCGAGCTAATAAACTGTTTTAGCTAATGTTTGGGCATACCATTCATCGTGCGATAAAAGTTCATGTTATCCAGCTACCGGTAATTTATTGATTGGCAGGGAAAACCATCTCGTGGCATCTTCGACATGCGGTTTAAAGCAAAGGGTTTGTAACTTATTTATTATCAATATTAGTATTTAAGTTATATTCACAAACATATAACAACTAAAAACTTACATATATTAACAAAAGTTTTGATATCTATTACAATTATTATTTATAATTTAGGATTCTGTTAGTATTTAATAATTTTACATGAAAAGAAATATAGTTCAATAATGAATATTGATAAGTTCACCAAGATTTGATCAACATTTTAAATTGGCTGTTGCATGATTGAATTGATAAAATAATATTTTATTTTCTCAGTTACACAAAAATAATATACTTTCCCAACGTATGTGTTATATATATATAAAAAAAAAGAACTAACTAAATTTAGATATTTTATAATATCCTATAAATCTGTTCAAACTGTAATACAATACATATTATATAATATATTTATGGTTTATTTTTAGGTAAGGTATTGTATTGTAAACAATCTCGAAGAACGTAAAAAATGTTTTTGGTGCGATTCAAGACAACCGTTTCAACCGAATTCAAAGTATTCTCCAAGTCATAGAATCGAAAATATTGTCCACCCTTCTTACACTGGGTAATTAATAATTAATATTAAACGTGAAATGTACATAAATTGTATATTATAAGTACAATATAAATTGTAAATATCTATTAATTATAGTGCTACATCTACACAATGGTGGCAATCGGAAAATGGTGTTGAAAACGTCACCATTCAATTGAATCTCGAAGCCGAATTTCATTTTACTCATTTAATTATTACGTTTAAAACATTTAGACCAGCAGTAATGCTTGTTGAAAGATCTTATGATTTTGGTAATACTTGGCAAGTAAGTACACATTTTAAATCTTAACATTCTCAACTACCCGAGAAATAATTCATGGGCAATGTTCATTAATAGGTACCTAATAAAAATTAAATTCTAATTTTATTTACAGGTGTACAGATACTTTGCGTATGACTGTGATTCCGTTTTCCCGAACATACCCAAAGAACCACCACGTAATTTGACTGAAGTTGTTTGTGACCAAAGATATTCGTCTGTACCTCCTTCTGCAAATGGTGAAGTATGTATATAATTTGTAGTTATACAGGGTGATTAACATAATGTAAGATACTCATTATCTCGATAGTTAAGTTTTTTCAGAATTGTCAAAAATAGCTCCAAAATATTACATTACCATTATTTTTTAGTGTGAAACCTTACCTAACCTATTTGTTTTTGATATTCCAATAGCAACTTATATTGGAAATTCAATAAAAATATGAATTTTTGGGTTATAATATATATATTTATATACATTTTGTTACTGCCATTTTTAATTTCCGTCAACCTGTTGATGAATTATTCCATTTTTATGTTAGCCTTTTCCGGGCAGGAGAAGAATAGTGCAACACAATTTGTGTGGTTGCGAAAGGTGTAGAATTTAAATATTACTCCATTAATCTTTCCTACGCATAAAATGACAAACTTAAAAGTGGATTATCTCGTTAACGGGTTAACAAAAATAAATAATTTCAACATTAAAATTTATTTAAACTAAAATTTTATCTATTTATATAATGTTTAATATAGGTTGCTATATGCAAATGAAAATTTGGTAGTGGTTTAATCCTCAAAATAACAAAAAATGACGGTAGTGTAAAATTGTTGAGTTGTTTTTTTCTTCAAAACAAATATCATAATAAGTTATTACTTTCTTAAGTCATGAATGTCTTTTGTTAAGTTGATCACCCTGTATTTCTTTTAGTTTATTTAAAATTTTTACTTTTATATTTATGAAAATTGGTTTATAGACTGGAAAATCTTATTTTTCACTTGGTATACGGATTAATTAAAGTTTATTAAAAATCTAAGATAAGTGGTAACTTACAACTAGTGAGGTATTCTTTAAGATAATGGTTAAATTGAAGATATGTATCTAATAAAGGTTAATTTATTAGTTAATTTAAAACTTCGAAAACCAGGGAATGATTTAGTTATTATCACTAAAACATTTTTAATGATATAAAAATTCAAGTTAGTTTTATTAAAAATAATATCTTTAATATCTATTAGATTGTACGGAATTATACTTTGATCTACTTTATTTTCACTGAACACCTGTTTAGTAGGATAATATTTAATTTAATTGAAGAGGAGTGCAATTTATTTTTAAACCCTATTAGTATAATAATTTTATGAGCATATGTATGTAAGAGAAAAACATTTTGAAAGTCTTGTCTCCATGATGGGGTTCCTGAAAGTTTGATTAGGTTTAGTTACCTAATTCTCGGTAATTCCACTCGATTTTCATTAAATTTAGTCCTCCTTTGAAGTTTTTCTCCACTTTAACCACTGCTTTTAGAAACCAATATTTATGATATTATTATTTATTTATTTTTAATTTTATTTAAATATTAAATGTATACTTTGGTGAAGATCAGTTTTAATCAAATAAATAGTTTGATTAGAATAAAAAAAAAATCACACATTGTAAAATAAATACAAAAATATAACTTATAATGTTTTTATTTCTACAGGTAATTTTGAGAGTTTTGCCTCCTAATCTACACCATATGTATGATGATCCGTATTCGTCAGAAGTACAAAACTTATTGAAAATGACCAACTTGAGAATTAACTTTACTAAACTTCATACACTCGGAGACAATTTGTTGGACAACCGAGATGAAATTTTGGTAAGTTTTATACTTAACAGAAGAGAGATATTTTTTGATGTACAATATAAGAAATAATGTTTTAATTGTTAATTATAACTTAATAGGAAAAATATTACTACGCGATCAGCGAAATGGTAGTACGAGGGTCTTGTTCGTGTTACGGACATGCATCTCGCTGCTTACCACAAGATGGTACAGTTAGCAAGCCGGACATGGTTTATGGTCAATGTGAATGCACTCATAACACCAAGGGTCTAAATTGTGAGGCTTGTGAAGACTTTTTTAATGATTTCCCATGGAAACCGGCTATTGGTAGACAGACAAACGCGTGTAGACGTAAGTGGTGATTAGTGCAAATGAACATAGAAATTGGAAAAATATTTTTTTTAATGTTTCGGTCGTATTAAGGATGTAATTGCAATAATCATGCAACGAGTTGTCATCATGATGCTGCTGTGTTTGAGTTGACTGGTCGAACCAGTGGTGGGGTGTGCGACGGATGTACTGATAACACAATGGGACGAAATTGTGAACAATGCAAACAATACTTCTACCAAGATCCTACAAAACCATTTACCGATCGTGATGTTTGCTTACGTATGTTTCCCACAAGTCATAGTACTATTATTTTTGTATATTGAACGGTCTAAATTAGTTTTATTTAGTTTTAATTGGGTATACACCATGAAAATATGTTTTATTAATTATCGAATATTGTATGTATTAATTGTAGCATGTGATTGTGATCCTGGTGGTTCTTTGGACGACGGAATATGTGACTCCAAAACTGATTTAGTTAACGGATTAGAATCCGGTCGATGTCACTGTAAAACTAATGTTGAAGGTAGACGATGTGATGCGTGTAAAAACGGCTTTTGGAATTTCAGCGAGTCAAATCAAGATGGATGCCAAGGTATGCATATAAACATTAAAAAGTTTTCGTTAAATTATTATATTTTTTGCAGTAAATAATTTTTATTCGTTATGAATTTTGTATACTTTGTAAAATTTCATCCATTATAACTAGATAGACATTAATAATATTTTATGTTTGTTTTAGTGTGCACTTGTAACACTCAAGGAACGGTAGACAACCAAGGTTGTAATAAAGAAACCGGAGAATGTACATGCAAAAGGTATGTGACTGGTAGAGACTGCAATCAGTGTATTCCAGGATACTGGGGTTTGTCCGATAGCCCAGACGGTTGTAAACCTTGTGACTGTGACATCGGTGGAGCATATGATAATATGTGTGATGTTATTACGGGTCAATGCAAGTAAGTTATTATTGTATACATTTTATTACTCTAATTATTATAGTATTAATTTGTAATAATTATTATAATTATAGTTATAATTACTTATAATTGTATTAAATATTTTTATACTAATACCCATGTCTATAAACAATTGAAATATACCTATCTATAATTACCTACTTAATTATAATGTATTTTTTTTTATTTTTTAAGTTGTCGTCCTCATTTGTCGGGTCGCATGTGCAGTGTACCAGAACAAAACTTTTTTGTTGGTTCCCTCGATGCATCCATCAGTGAAGCAGAATTATCCAACTGTACAAACGTATGTACACTATGATCCTTTAAAGTTTTTATAATTTGTATGCAATATATTCAACTATCATTTAAATATTTAGAATTGTCAAGTATATATTCGAGAACCCTATAGAGATGGCCGTAATAACACGTGGACTGGAACTGGATTTATGGAATTGTTTGAAGAATCCGAATTAGTATTAGAAATAAAAAATGTACCGATTACAGCTGTTTATGAAATTGTTCTCAGATATGAAAATCAAGTGAGTAGTAAAGACTAAGTAAAATAAAATAAATAAATTATATAGAAATGTGATTAAATAATTATAATATTATTAACAATGAATTATATATTGTGCAATCAGGGACCTAATGTTTTGAGTGCAATGGTTAATTTGGAAAGAACAGACCCAATTGACTCTAATGGTACTTGTGCTGACTATGAACAAAATTACAATGCTGGAGATATTAGGAATGTTTTATTAACACCAGGTTAACTTAATTCTTAAAGTTAAATAATTAATGTTTTTAATTATTGTAAATCTGACTAAGAAAATATCTAATATTATTTTTAAACAAATGTGTTTTTAGTCTCTAAATATGCCATTACATCACCACCGGTGTGTTTAGAAGCCAATAAAAGCTATAAGACAAAAATACATTTCCAAAGATTTAACAAAACTCAACTTGATCCATCCGCATCAATACTAGTAGATTCTGTAAGTATTTAATGAATTTAGAAAAACATTTGTGTACAATATAATAACTAACTAATAACATTGATTATTATATATTTAAATAATAATATGTTAGATTTTTAAATTGTAATTACTCAATACTAATATTCGTGTCAAAGTATTTTTTAAAAAAGAATAATAATGTTGGACCTTTTAATTTTGAATTTTCCAATTTTCCAAAACTCCCTAATTCTTTCGAGTGTAGTGAGCCTGATGGTAGTAGGACTCAAAACTATATATTGATAAAGTCATCACCTGTGACGAAACTTTTGTTCCGTGTTTGGTAGATTTAGGAGTTTGAAGAACTAAATAACACTTGATAAAAATTTAAAATGCATTAATTTATCCCTGAGATTCAAACTTACAAACCCATGGGTCGAACATACAAGAGAACAATTTCAACAATTTCGGTCAAACTTAGTATGACAAAGTCTAAACAAAGTCTGGTCCAAGTCTAACGTCATACTAGATTGGCGCCTTGTATACATACGATTAATTTCGAGGGGTGCCATCCAACACGGATCTAACAAAATCTTCAGAAACTTCATTTCGGGAACCAAAAGCAGTTTTCCCCCAGGCTCTCCTAGTAATGTTGCCTTTACCTAGGGCTACTGTGTCTTACAACAGCAGATCCAAAGAACAAGATAATTACCATTAATTATAAATAAAACATATTCTAAAACCGAAACAACTATCACCTATTACAATAGCCGTGAACACCGATTAGAATATAACAAGAATAAAACTTATAAACTATGTAAAATTATGTAAACTGAAATATAAATGAATATAGGAATACTTAGGGGCTCTATTTAGGAGACCTGACGAAAAATAGTAGTAATCTCAGATTTCTACACTAGTATTTTTACAATTATAGGTTGTTCTAATACCACATGTTGAAAGTATGCCATTTTTCCAAGGATCACCAGCGAATGAGTTAAAACTTGAAGAATACAAACATTACAAATGTAAAGAAGCATATTACACTGTTCTTAGAGATCATGCGGTACCTGATATTTGTCAAAAATATCATTATAGTGTTGGTTTTTATTATTTGGATGGAGCATTCGGTGAGTAAATTTACTTAATATTGAATTAGATATTATTATGTATGTTTGTGTTTAGCATGCCAATGTGACCCAACGGGATCAACTAGTGCTATTTGTGACTCATTGGGTGGCAAGTGTTCTTGTAAAACAAATGTAGTTGGAAGAAAATGTAACAGATGTGCTCCTGGTACATATGGATTTGGTCCAGAAGGGTGTCAAGGTAATAAATATTACAAATTATGTGACAAAATTTTATAATGACACGACTTAAAGGAAGTAGCATTCAGTGATACATAATTATTTCCATATAGGTAATGACATAAAAAAAAAAAAAAACCAAGGTTGTGTTAGTGGACAATTCCTATACATCAAGTGTTCATTGATATTATACTTAAATACCATAATATATTTGTGTAGCATAAAAAAATTAATTTTCCCTACATACTATGAGTGTACATACAGTATTTTAAAATTTGCTTTGGTAATTTTCCCTACAAACTGGGAAATATTGACCCACTTATTATAGCCTCTCACCCTAATTAGGGTTATTCAGAATGTACTATTTTAATGGGATATTATTTTATTTTTTAAAAGTGTTTTAAAGTCTGCATTTCTGTCCTATTAACTGTCCCACTCATTACTACTTACTAATTTTTAACACTTTTTAATTGACTTCTCATTATGCATTGTTATATATTTACTGCCTAAATAGTAAATATTAATGTTTCAGTAGTTTGGGATCCACTGGCCTTTCTTATGAAATATTGCTAGCAGAGTAATATTTTTGGATTGATAATACATAGATTTATTTTATAAAATAAAAGAAAAAAAATATTTACAAATTAAAACAATTTTTTTTATTTTTGAAATTAGCATGCGACTGTAACAGTGTGGGAGCTTTAGATAATTTGTGTGATGTTTCAAATGGACAATGTAAGTGTCGTACACAGACGTATGGAAGGGAATGTGATCAGTGTGAACCAGGTTCATGGAACTATCCTGATTGTCAGAGGTGTACGTGCCACGGACACACTGATGTATGCGATTCTCATACTGGAGTATGTCTTAACTGCCAAGGTTTTACAGAAGGAAGTAATTGTGATAGGTGTGTAGAATGTGTAATATATAAACAAATATACATATTACTGATTTTATTTCTAACTAATAATTGAATATTGTATAGATGTATAGAGGGTTATTATGGTGATCCTCGTTTGGGAATAGACATTCCTTGTCGACCATGTCCGTGTCCTGGAACAGCAGAATCTGGACATTCCTATGCTCATCGATGCGCATTAGATTCAAAAACACAAGATGTCTTCTGTGAATGCCAAGAAGGATATAAAGGTAAATATATTTTAATTTGTGTACATTCATATTATTTATCCTTAAATTCCATAGGTTCTAGATGTAATTTGTGTAATGAGAACTATTATGGAAACCCTGAAGTTCCTGGAGGTTCATGCCAACCATGTAACTGTAATAATAATGTGGATATAACTAAGATGGGTAATTGTGATCCACACAATGGAAAATGTCTCCAATGTTTATTTAACACAGAAGGTGACAACTGTGATGTATGTAAAACTGGATTTTATGGTGATGCAATTCAACAGAATTGTGCTGGTTAGTTTAATTTTCTTTTATTACTGAATTTAATTGAAGTTTTACTATAAATTAATACGTTCACACTTTATTTATTACTTATTTTATATTATTTATAAATATTTTATTATATAAAATTAATTAATTATTTTTTTGTTTATAGAATGTGTGTGTGATTTTCTGGGATCACAATCCTTGGTGTGCAATCACACCACTGGACAATGTCCTTGCTTACCTAATGTTGTTGGATTAACTTGTGATACTTGTAAACCTAATCATTGGAAAATCGCTAGTGGAAATGGATGTGAGCCGTGTAATTGCGATCCTGTTGGATCGCTCTCTGAACAATGTAACCAGGTACCTATAGCTAAAAATTAACAATTAAGCAAAATAAATAAGCAAATAAATCATTTTTAACATATATTTTTTTTCTAATCATTTTTGATTTTAGTTTGACGGCCAATGTAAATGTAAACCTGGTTTTGGTGGAACTCAATGTAATCAGTGTCAAACTAATTATTGGGGTGACCCTAATAAAGAATGCTATGGTTAATATTTTCAAAAGAATGTTTATTATTTTATATAATTATAAAAAAAAATTATATTTGTTTTAGCATGTGACTGTAATCCTGAAGGTTCGGCGACACAGCAATGTAATCAGACTACTGGACATTGTAATTGTATGTTAGGAATAGGGGGAGAAAAATGTAATATTTGTGCAAGGGGGTATTTAGGCACAGCTCCGAACTGTAGTCCATGTGGAGAATGTTTCGAAAATTGGGACCAATCGCAGAAAGAACTAAATGGTAAAACAAAATATGAGTAGTTAAATAGATTATAGAGATAAACTTAAAGATGTATAATTCATATCATTCCAAAAAATTAATTATTTTTAATTAGAGCAAACCGAGAATGTAATAAAATCGGCTTCTGAAATAAAAGCTACTGGAGCTGCAGGGGCTTACACAGTTGAATTCGAGAATATGGAAAAAAAAATAACTGAGGTTAAAGTTATTTTGCAAACAACTACAAAAAGTTCATCTGATCTACAAATACTAAATGAAGTTATTGATCACCTTAGGTATTTATTAAATAGTATATCAGCATTATGAAATAACTGATTGTTAATAAATAAAAAAAATGTGGTTATTTGCAGAATAAATCTTACAACTATGGACCAGCTAAATACCATTACAAAAACTATTGACAATGCAATGCAAAGAATGATTTTAGCTAATTTAACATTAGGAAATCTTAATGCTAAAACTATTACTTTAAAAGATACTGCACAAGGTTTGAAACAGAACTCAACAAAACTTCAAGAACGTAATGTGGAAGGTAGGCCAATGTTTACATTGATACACTGTTTTACTAATAAGTGTGATTTATATTTTTCATTTTATTTTAGCATTTTTACTTTAAATAATTTATCATTAAGACTAATATTTTTGATGAAGGTAACTTTACAATTTAATTAAGTTACCTTTATCAAGTTACTTACGCCCTTTTTTAATAAAATATATTAATCATTAATCATTAAGTTTATTTTTTTTTTTTTTAGAAATAATGGACCTTTAATATACTAAAATTATTATTTTTTTAAATTCTTCAGGTGCCTTGAACTTAACTAAAGAAGCATATGAGAAAGCAAAAACATTAAAACTAAAGGAGACTGTTCAAGATAAACTTCTTGGAGATATAGAACATCAGTGTAAAAGAACAGAGATGTTCTCTAGTCGAAGTGTAAATGTTTTTAATGAAGGTATTAAAGATAATGAATATACATTGGAGAAATTAAATGAGGAAATGAATAACTTAAATCAAGAAATTCCAAAATTGAATCAACAAGTGAAATATAATTAATTAAATTTAAACATAATATATAAATAGTATTTATTCAAACAATGAAATATATGTTACTAGATTTGTGACAAAGGAAGTGAGACTTGCGATAAGCTTTGTGGTGGTGCAGGGTGTGGTTTTTGTGGTGGTTTATCATGTGAAGCAGGTGCTACCACTAAAGCTGAACGTGCATATAGCTTTGCTAAAGAAGCAGAGAAACATATACGTGATAAAGAAGCAAAAGCAGAAGAATTATATCGAGGTGTAAGTATAGATTGAACTTTATTATATTTCAATAAAGAAAAATACATATTGTTTTTTAAATTAAGATATCTCAAGTCAATCAAGAACTTAATTCTGCATTGACTAATGCTAAAGAAATTGGGGAACAATCCAATAGAACTAAAATACAATCACAAAACATTCTCAATGAAAGTTATGCTTTAATCGAAAGGTACGAAAAGTTTTTGAATCCTACTGGAATCAAATCTGGAGACGTTGCATTGAAAGTTGATGAAGTAATATTGTCAAAACAATTATTTTGTGTAATGTTAAAAGGGGTAAAATATTATTTATATTTTTTAGGTAATGAAATTAAATATTAACTTGAAACCAGAACAATTGCGTCAACTTTCAGAAGATATAAATCGAACACTATCCCAGCCAATGAATATTGATAACATTATTAAAGATACTCATGAAGACTTATTAGAAGCTAAAATGTTAAATGAAGAAGCTGAAAAGAAACAGTAAGTTTATTTTTTTTCTAATTTTTTTCACATTTTACCTATATTAATATTTATTGTCCGTTTATTTTATTTAGAAGTGCTGCCAAAATTATTCTTCAAGTTTCTGAACAAGTTGAAAAAGCTTTAGCTGAAGCTCAAGACATACAGAATACTGTAAGCCAGGATATATTACTAACTAAACAAAATATTGTAGATGCATCCAATAGTTTATCAAAGGTTAGTACATTTTTACATTTTTTATAAATATCAAACTTCCATTATATTATATGAATATTTGAAGTGTTAATATGTGGTATTGTATTTTATTTTAAGATATTTATTTGGTTTTTATATTGTTTGATGTTTAGGTTAAAGCAGAGACAGGTCTTACCCAAGAAACTATTCAGAAAATGTTAGATGAGATTAGCGTAATTGATGGCAAGTTGAAAACATTGCAGACCGGATTTTTAAAAAATGTTAGAGATGCTAATGAAGTTAAATCTGAAGCAAAAACTTTAATACAGGAAGTAGAGGAAACAAAAAATAAAGCCTCGCAATTGTTAGCTGCTTACAATAAAGCTAATGACACCTTAGAGAATCGCGTAAAAAACTCAAAAACCACTCGCAGCAACTCCATTTATTTGTTAGAAAAAGCTAGCCAATTATCTGCCAATACTACTTTAAAATTGAAAGAACTTGGAGGTAAATGATTCAAATTACTAATATAAAACAAACTATTTAGTTATTTTAGTTTTTTAGTTATTACTAGATAATGGATTTATATGCACTTAAATCTCAAAAAAGTGCTTAAATCATCAAAAAACACTTTAAAATATTTAAAAAAGCAAAAGTCGTAAAGATGTTTTAAAATAACTTTTTACCTGTTCTAACCGTATAAAATAAAATTGTTTAATACCTACTGAAAATGATTAACATAAAGTATTTTTTTGTTTTTATATATAACATATAAATTTCTTTAAAAAAATTACTTTGTGATAATTATTTTTTTAGGCCAGGCGCACATTGAGACGCAGGTGACCCAGTGCAGCGCAGAAAAAACTGTTACCTATGTGAGCGCATATTACCACACAGTTCCGTGTCACTATTCATCCAGTCATGAGTGAAATGATAGCTAAAACTTTAATAAATTTAAGTTCTGAATCAGATTCTGATGATGAATTTGATGAACTTCTGATCAACTTACCATTTTTTAATTTAATTTCACTAGCTATCTTTTCCCACATCTCATTTTTTATAGCAAAAAATTTAATAAATTTAAGTTCTGAATCAGATTCTGATGATGAATTTGATGAACTTCTGATCAACTTACAATTTTTTAATTTAATTTCACTTGCTATCTTTTCCCATATCTCATTTTTTAAATTTTGTCTTCATGTAGTCGACATAACTAGTGTCATATAAGACACTTTAATGTCAGAGGGATTCAATTATAGCTTCTTCCATCCCAAAAATAAAATACAGTATTAAAATTAAAAAGGAGGAAATTATGTTAGGCTGGCGTAATTTAAATGGAAAATATTAAAAATGTGTGCAGTAAACTGTGTCGCAGACTGCGTCACGCAGGTTGACACAGGCAAAGTTCTGCTCTATCCTGCCCTGCCTACTAATATGCGCTAAGACATTGTATTATATCATAACTAATAGATTATAGAAAACTATGCAACGCAGCGTCACCTGGGTCTCAATGTTTGTCGGGCCTTAGTGTTAAATATTAAAGGAAATCATAAATCATTAAGGAAATATGAATTTTTAGTCAGTTTATAATATTATAATATAATAATTTTTTGTGCCCCAAAACATAACCGATTTCCTGTTTCCGTCCGTTTTTCCATTTAATCTAGTCCGATGCTTGGGTTTTGAGTCTTGAACAATGGTTGTTTTACTAGGGCGGGTCGTTAGCCCACCGCTAAACCCCCAACCTGGAGGGCCAGGCTATCCCAACCAATTAAGGTCAGGGTAGGGCTGCTGCAGTGCACTTACATAAGTACACTGGGCGATGGGCGCGCCACTTTCCCTACGCCAGCTTATATTTCCGCTACAATTGTATTTTCTTAACAATATTTGTATTATACCAGGTGATTCTTTTATTGTTAAACACTTTTTATTTTAAAAAGTATTGACTATTTTTGAAATTAACTATTTCTGAAATGTTACATTGTCTTTTTTTTGTCACTCTTATTTTTGTTGGTGAAACGTTTACTTATTTGATTTTCAAATAGGAACATATTTAATGAAAATGCTTTAAATAGATGGTGTATTAGTTAAAATAAATGTTGGTGATGAAATTTTAGATTTCTGTCAATCCATTGACAAGATATTCCACTTTTAAGTTTGAGTCAGGGGAGAGTAGTGGAGCATCATTTGTGTGGCGGCACAGCGTGGTAGGGGTGTCTTCAGACTTTGACTATGGTTAAGGGGGCAAAATAACTAAATTTAATATCAATGATTGATAAGAAAAAAAGACAGACATACTTCACACAATGGGTGGACCACTGTTATAGATGAAAAGTTGGGAAGGTAGGATATTGAGGGAAATTTAATGTATATCTGAACCTAAGAAAATTTAAGCATTGCCAACAAAAACCGATTCTTAGCAGACCTCAGTTAATAGTATTGTCTTCGGTCAACAAAATTTCAAATCCTTTGTCTGATGTTATTTCAACTTATATAGCTTAGAAGACTAAAGATATATTGTACAAATTTAGTGAAACACTACATACTTTAAAACATTTAAACTTTACAATTATCAATTTTTTATTTTAACTAGTTGTACAAATAATTAAATTCCTACCTAATTTTATCAAAATTTTAATATTAATGTTAAAAAAATAATTTAATAGAATTATAAAATAACCAGGAACACAGGGTGATTAAAGAATATTGACTTTTTCAAAAAAAAATTGTTTTTTTAAATTTTAAATACATGCTTTTCTACAATGTTTTTGGTTTTTTTTTACATAATTTGTATTTGGTTGATACTTGATAAATTAAGTTGATAAACTAAACAGAAATACATGAAATCCAATTGGGCAAAAGGTTCTTTATAAGTCTTAATAGTGGTAAAAAAAAATTGAATGCAATATACTATTTTTTTTTTTTTATTATTATTATAAAGAATTTTAATATCAAAGTTTTAATGAAAATCATAATTATTATGGCCTTTCAAAACATGTATAACCAAACTTTGCTCTGAATGGGTTTTCGTTTTATTATTTACAATACCTAATAATAATAAACATTATTAATTTTAGATGCCGAAAAGGAATTTGTAGAACAAGAGAAGAAAATATTAGAATTGAGTAATCTTACTGATGAATTAAACTCCAGGATGTCAGTTAATTTAGAAGATATAAATAAGAAGTCTTCATATTACAGGACATGTAATAATTAGTAATATTGATTACAGTAATATTTTATTTGTTGAGTGTCATATAATTTATTTGAATAGTTTTCATTATCTATGTCATATTTATTTATTTATGTCCCTTGCACACTGTATTATATATTCATAATAATATTTATAGTAATTAATTATTATTTATAACTGTGTTCATTAACTATTTAAAATAAAATATTTAGTTTCCGATTAAGACATTTTACGAACAAAAAAAAAACAATTTATCTACCTATGAGTTTGTATGATACAAATATATATTTGAATGTAATATTATTAGTACCTACCAATAATTTTTTTCATATTCATAATAATTACTTTATATTATATAATATTGAAATATTTTAAGTTTTGATAAACAATATTAAATCGTAACAGACATTATTAATAATAATATTACATAGGTAACATTAACAAATTTAAAAATTGAGACAGAAATTACTTTTTATTTTTATATTAATCTAACATTAGTATTAGGTATTGGATACTGGATTAAATGATTGTTACAATACAAATTACAATAATATACCTACAAGCAATTTATATATAATTTGTATTTTATTTTTTAAATTACTGTTTTTAACTATATTGTATTATATTAAATAAGTACCTACCTATATAACCAAATTGGCGTGAATACATCACCTAAGCAAACATATTATAATATATGTTATATGCATATAATCAAATCAGGCTTTCACTAAATGGTTTATTTTTTTACGATTTTACTATCTACCTAGAAATTTAATAAAATGCCTAGATGTTTAACTAAATACCTATTTCAAGTCTGGCAAATAATAAAAATGAAACGTTTTTAAATCATTTTAAAAACTAAACTATATTTTCTTATTGATATTATTTAATGCAACAATATAAAAATAAAAGTTCCACAGATGTTTGAAAAGTATTATATCTTATTATATCTTATCTATATTTAATAAATTAAATTTTAATAATGGTGTAGAAAATAAGTATCAAAATACAAATTTGTATTCATACATGGAGCTGTAGTAAACTTATTAAATTTTAACAGTCAAGGTTTTGTTAAAGGATAAAAAAGTGGTAATGTCAGTCCGGTGGATGTTTGTTTTAAAAAAAATGTGAAATGTTCAAATAAATGCCACCAAATAATAACATGTATTAACAAGTATTAACTAAAAACTTAGAAAAATCTTTAATTATTATATAACTTTTTATTCATTTTTTTATACTTGTATCATACCTAATTAGTAATTAGGTATATTCATTTATAATTTAGGTAAGTTTCAAAACAATAATAGGTACCTTAGGACACAAAATTAAATATATTTTATATACTAACGTATTTTATATATTAATAAATTATACATCATTTTTTATAATATAGAATAGCAATAAATAATTATTAAGAAAATATGGTTTAGTTTTTAAATATATGTGAAACATTTCACTTTTATTATTTTCCTGACTTGGAATTTAGTTAAACGTCTAGGCATTTAGCAAAATGTTAGTATATGCTATATGATAGAAATATCCTGCAAAAATTAAACAATTTTACTATTTGTCTAGGCCACAGATGACGAAACTTTTGATACCCTCGTGTCAAACATAAATTTGAATTTTTGTTTTTGTTCTAGTATTTTTTGATCGAGAACATTTTTTAATTATTTTATTACACAATGACATTATTTTTGATTTTATGAAATTATCAACATTAATTTAGTATTAACACAAGTCGAGTAATATGTTGATGTGTGGTCGCAAGCCTGTTATTATAAATAAATATGACACTGGCACAAAGGTCTTATTGTACCTACCTCATTATGGTATTACAAAGTCTTGATTGATTTTGTACAATTTGCAGTTATTTTGTATTATAGTTCTTATTTTGGTTATAAAGTCAATATAATGTGAGAGTTATGTTTAAATTATATAATATTTATACTTATGTGGAAAAATCTTAAAAAAATAATCTATTTTTCATATAATATATACATAGTATTATTATATAGGTATTTTTATTTTCCACACAAAACTAATGTATTTATCTAGTTTATCTAATATAGTCTACTATTGAATAGTGGAGCTGGTAATGAAGGAGTTAGACGGTGAAGTACAGTTAGTGTTTAGTTATTTTTTATGTTATAATTTTTTTAAAAAATGGAAATTTTAAAATCAAAATTACAATTGAACGAAAAAAAAAAAAATTTAATTACTTACTATCTATTATATAGTTTTATTTTTAAATTATTTAAATACAATTAGAATAATTATTATAAATTAGAATTATTTTAATATAACAATGGATTGCATCATTTTATATAATATCTTATATTAATTACCTAAGGTATATGTGATCAAATAGTCTATAAAGCTGCTATGATGAAACCGTTTAAACACAATATATTGTATTATATTATAAGGTTTACCTACCTCATGGTTGTCCCGCGAGGATTTAAGTAAGTATATTATATAATACAGTTATGGTATTTTAAGTGATCCCTGTAGTATATTTTTGGGAACTATTCCAACACCTTGCGAAACTTGGGGATATAAATCAGTACTTTATGCCGTAGATTTTACAAAATTGTACTTACTAAGATTGTATAGGTAATATAATAATATATAATAACAATATATACAAAAATGTGTTTCATAAAAAATTGTAAACGTTGGATTTTGACCTTTAAATTGTTGTTATTTTATTGGTATGCATAATATATAATTTATATTTATTATATAAAATAATTAAATTATTAATATTTTTCTATTTGTAGAACTGAACAATTTGAAAGCAATAAAGGGATTTTATTTATTTTTCGTGAGAGAAGGGCTATAAATATGGTTGAATCCAAGCGAAAATAAAAAAAAATTATAATACGAATAATCTGAATAAGAGACGTATCGCAAAGTGTTAAATAAAATCAGAAATGTTTCGGACATTGTCGAAGTATCAATAGGTATGAGAGATTTTCGAACGCCGTCGTGTCAAACGCATTCGTACCGGGGGGAGGTTTAGGTATGAAATAAAAAATCGGATATCTTTTTTCGCATCACACGCCGTGGGCGCAGAATTATTATCATATCATATTTACGCCTCGTAGAATCCCATCAAATATTATGTGTATAAAATATACGGTGTATTTTCAAATATGTACGATTGGTTTTTATACAAATACAATTTGAACATAAAACAAATAAAGGGAGAGGGGGGAATTTTTAAGAATATACTCCTGGGATACACGGGGGAGAAAAACAGTTGACGGCGTACCAATATATATGTATTATAATAATATTTTCTCGATATGAGACGTTCGCGACATCATCGCGGGTCTGAGGTTACTCCATCGGAAAGGATTTGTCAGGGAGAAAAACTTATTAGATGACTTACACGCACTTTGTTCGCCATTTGTTTATTTTATCGACGTACCTATATAATGTCATATGCGTATACGCTATGGCGTGTTTGTAATAATATATATGTATATATATATACCTGCACATGTTCGTTCAAATCCTTTTCCCGGAGTATTTTCCGTCGTTATTTTTTTATTTACGATGTTTTTCGATGCGCACCCACATGACAGACGTTTGATCCGCTTTAAACTAACACGTCGTCGATTTTTAAATTATTATTGTTATTATTATAGAATTTTTTTTTCTTATGACTCTTGTATTTTTCCGGATAAATTTAAATTTTCACCCGGATCCCCGTATCTATAGCTGGTAATTATAAAGGTAACCCGATTAAGAATATTGTACGCGGCAAACGCTATTGTCATTAAAAGGAACGAAAAAAAAAAGAGCTAATACTGGGGACATCACTGTTGTAGGTGGAAAATTCGGAAGGTAGGATACATAAAGTTATTTCATTTATATCTGTAAGCAACGATAAACCATTGCTCGACGAAAGACGATTCCGAGAGCAGTTCGATAATACATATCTTGAAGTGCCGTCAATTTTTTTGCGATTTTCGTTTAAATTTGATTTCAAAACGCATATTAAAAAAAAAAAAAGTCGTTCGATCATTTTGAAAATTTTACCACGTCTAGGTAAGTCCAATATAATGTTATTAAAAAGTTTTAAACCTCTATGCGTTTTTATAATCAAATTACAGTAAAAAAAACTGCTAAAAATTAAAATTCCTTAAAAGCTCAAAAAGTGGCTCAAAAGTTTTGATAATGTAAGAAAATAAATCAAAAAGGAAACAAAAAAGGTGTTTTGTGATTTTTCGATTAAATTTATTTTTCATTATAAAATAATGAAATCGTGAAATTGTAAGTTTCCACACGTTTCTCCTACTTAAGTGTTTTTATTTAAAAAATGGCGTCGAAAATCAAAAAATGAGGTCTTTAAAGTACAATCTGAATAACTTGGACTTTCGAAAAGGTCCTACCCTTATACATAGATACAAGTTTACTAGGAAAAAAACGTGTCCACAGACTAGAACAAAGAAAGAAAAATTAAACAGTTTTAAAACCCAATAGTTCACTCCCTAAGCTCGGAATTTTTAAAAATAATAATAATGGTATAAACCCTGCTATTTAGGACTAGCCCTCGTATGAAACAGTGTGAGAAAAGGTACAAATGATACATTTAGTGTAGAAAAGTTAGAAGACGCTGTTAATTTTGTTATTAATGAAAAGTATTCAATTAGAGATGCTGCTAAATTAAAATAGTATCTAATTAATTAATAAATAAAATTATTATTCTATTTTATATTTTTTGAAAATAAAAATAAATAAAAATTAGGTATGTTCTTATTTTAAAATTGTTAATTTTTGTTACTTTTTATTTTCCCTTCCCTATTTCGTTTGAAAGATACCTTTATTCCCTTTACATGTTTCAAAAGAATTGAAAACTATAGTTTTTAGAGTTTTTTATTTTACTTATTTAGGTATGTATTCAAAAAGTATACCAGTTTGCAATCAAATTTAAAAATAAAATAAATTGTCTAACCAGTTAATGCCAACAAAAAAAATGTCTATATTATTTGTATTTAATTAATATTTTTGGTTATTTAAATATGCCTGACAAAGATTTAATATGTAAACGATAAAACTGTGCTTACATATTATATGAAATTTAATACCTTACAAAAAAAGTCATAATATATTATAATGATAAAAAAAAAAATAAACTATAAATGGTTTTAGTTACAAATATAAGTGGTTTTATTTTATTTTTCACAAATTAAAACATTTTGAAAAGCTGTATATTAATATGAATTTTACCAGTCACTCTCTATTAACCATTCATTCAAGTATTCTTTGATTGTTGTACGAGCTTCTGTCAACTGAGGAGGGTCTGTTGGAGTTGAAGGATACATATTTGCACAGTGAGCTGTTCCTAAAAAAAAAAAAAATCAATTTTGTTTGCGTATTAGGTATATAAAATAACGTATTAGATATGTATAATAAGTACCTAGAGAAGCATTTATAGGTATTATTTTTTTGTATGTTATAATGTAAAATAATATTTACCATCAATGTAAATTGAAACAGTGTTATTTGTTCTTGTTTTTGTTATACCTAATGCATGCCATGGATCAATAGATCCTTGTACGTATATAGTTCGATCTTCTTTAATATTCAATTCACCATAAATCATATTGGTTCGGTCAACTGCTCTAGTCAATAGATCCAAATTAAATCTAATAAAAAATATAATAGTTTAGAATAATGCAAAAATGTATAAGTAGGTAGTAAGCACCTAATATACCAACAACTATATTTTTTAGTAAATGTTTATTGTTTATGTTTTCATTTTTGTCTAAGGAGGAAGTTTGTTTTTATATTAGATAGCTGACATTATTTTTAAAAATAATAGAGAAGTAATTTAAATGAGAAATACATTTTAAAAATCTACTACTGATTTGTGTACCACTGTTTTAAAAGGGTAGTTGAAAGTTACCAATGTACCTATTCCAGAAATCAACAAAAGATAACATTTTTTCCTATAACTACCTACTAGGAAAATCAAACAAATTATCACTTTATTTTGCTCAGAATCTAAAATAACTAAAATAACTACATGTTAGTTTTTGTAAACTATTATTTGATAAATAATTACAGTTTTTTAAAATTTTTAATAAACAAAATACCTACTTAAAACCTGATAACCTTTTAATTAGACAGGAATTAATTACAAAAAATATAGGCAGTGTGTTTTTAAAAAAAATCTGCGTTTTATGATTATTCATATAAGGGTACCTACTCTGAATTTAACTAAAAAATAAAATTTTAAGTGATTTTTCCTTTGTTAAAATATTTATCTTATACTTAAAACTATAATATCCATATTAAAATACTAATAAATAAGGTAGGTAATTGGTATATACAAAGTTATATACATATTTTAGTGGATAAACTTACGATTTTCCAAAAATATCTGTGCACATATCAATGAAAAATTCAACTGGGAAATTATGACCGAATACATGATTATCTTGACTGGAAGTTTGATAAAAACCAAACTCTGTGCAAGTTTGATATATCCATTGTCGACCTATAACAAAAAAAAAAATAATAATAACAATAATAATGATGTACCTAGTTACCTACTTGAAAAAAAAAAATATATATATAATATTTTTAGGTTTTATTTATTTATTAAATTAACTGATTTATTTCATAGGCTTAAGCTCAAAAATTTAAGAGTGATGTGTTCATACAAAAACAATTCAAACTGAAACTAAAACTATCTAGCTATCTAAAATATATTAGTTTTATAGTAACATTATTATGTGAGGATAAAATTGTTTTAATTTGTCAAAAATTTGACACAAAGTTCATTATAAGTTGTGCTTATAGTACTATAAAAATATAAAATCTGTGGTCACTGTGGTTTAAATACTGAACCTATCTTACCAATTTCCAATGTACAACAGTAGCACGCCTATGGTGCAAAGTATTTTGGCTTATTTTTATACTGTTTTCATTATGTTTATTTACCTATATATACCAGTGGCCACAGTGTTTCAGAAATTTTATCTAGGGGGACAAAAATTAGATTTTAGAAGTCACTAATTGAGTATAAATCTACATTTAATTTGTTGACTTTTAGTGGCTGATTAGATAAAATTAATTTTTAAATCTCTGCTTCGCTCTATGTGTGTATTCAATATCATAAGATTTTTAATAACAAGCTAAACTGTTTGAGTGAATATTTATTAATTGGCTCGCGCTGTTAAGTAGTTAAGTTTTAGCTGTATAATTGATATAATTTGTATAGAAATATTGGAAAATATATTAATTTATATAAAAAATGGATACGAAAAAAAGTAGAAGATAGTTGAGGTTTGAAATTAGTGTTTGTCATTAGCTTTACTTGTTGTTTTAACGATATTATACAATTTGGCTGAGCCATGTTGCAGCTTATATTATCTTGGAAATATTTATATTTGAAAACCGTTGTATTTATACATACAAAACAAAACAAAAAATTGAATTTACAATGAAACCAAACAACGAAAAATATTTAACTTTAATATATACTTTAACCAATATATTACCTTGTTTTGATAATAATATATTATTGAAAAATCGAAACATTTTCAAAATTTTGAGATAAAAACAAATAAATTAGGTACAAATTCGATTGAAAGTTGTGAAGTAATTTTTTTCATATGTCTGTGAAATAATTGGTGACAAATGGGCTACAATGCCGAAGGATTTTGAAGTTTCACTCAAAAAAGGAATTAAATGTGTTGTTACCACCCTTTATACAAAGTAGAGTAGTGCAGAAAGGAGTTTAGTGAAATTTAAATTAGTAAACAAATATTGGCTAGCATTATACTTAAATGTATTTGAAGAAATTGAAACCATGTTACAACAATCAACTTGTACCAGTCGTGGCTGTTCGAAGAAAATATTTGCAGTTGAATGTTCAAAAATAAAAAACGTAAATAAATTTTGCAACAGGGAGCACAGCTCCAGAAATTATATATGCTACTTGGTTATTATTGTTGTTGTCTCATTTATACAGGCAGTGAGAATGTTGGTTAGGACACTATTATATTTGGTGCTTATGTAATTGATGTAATTTTTATTTTTATTATTGGTAATGTTTTCATTATTTCTGTTTTTAATAATAAAAATAAAAATAACATTAAGTACATAAACACCAAATATAATAGTTTCCTAACCAACAAACTCACTGCCTGTATAAATTGCAATACAATAATAATAACTAAATTTACAAACCAGCTTTCGAAACATATTATTATATTACCAATTCACCAAACAATAAAATATCAACGTATATAATGATAAATCAGTAAATAAATTTGATAAACCAGGTATTTACAAATTACAATGTGAACGTAATAAAATATATGTAGGTAAAACAGATAGAAACTTTAAAATCAGATTCAAAGAACATACATCTGAAATTAGATTAAAAAAAAGACGTCCTAGAATAATAAAGTTCTAAAAAAATATGTATACACTTGTTATATTATAACGGTATTACGGTATAACGGTATTGTTTATTTTAATTTTAAAAATGTATACTGTTCCTTTTTATGTACACCATTTAATTACATTGTTTATCAGCGACCTGATGATAGCGTAAACCGAAACTAAGTAGTTATGAAATAAAACTAATTATACACTGTGTGATTTTTTTTAACATATTATTTATGAGCTGGTAGTGTTTAATTTTGATATATACCCTGTCCCACGTGAGAGCATACCGTGCGATATCGAAAATTGGTTTGCTCTGCGTATACTTACCGTTGTCGGTGATGACATTTGAATGCATGGGACACTGGGATAGAGTATAGTTATAGTTTTTTTTTTATTATATTAGTAATGGTTATTAAAGTTTATAACTTAAACGTACTACCGGATTCGGCAGCATCACTATCCCATGATGTTTCTTGATAAAATTCAATCATGTTATCGTAAACATGATCTAAGCAATTTAAACCATAGATGGATAGCATTTTACTGTTGACAGCTGCATATCTATCAAGCTAGAAAATAAAAATCAACATTAACAAAAATTAAAATTATAACACTAAATAATATATAAGTACACAAAATACTGATTATGTTAATGGTTTTATTGGTTATGAAGGAAAGAGAGAAATGTTTTAATTTAATTGAATTATTTAATTCTGACTTTAATTCAAACTGATTAATTTAAAATAAAATTTCTCACTAAAAAATTTATCTTTGAAGCAGAGTGTTTACCTAACAGGTAGATACGATAGGTAGGTGATAGGTGTGTACATAATGTATTATAATTGATTGTAATAAATGTAAAACATTGTTTAATAGTCATGCAATTGCACACTTACTGAATCTGGTATCGATTTATCGAGCATAATATCACATAAAGTCTCTATCGTTACTAAAGATCGTTCATAATTGTAATAGTGCCTATTGTCTTTGTTGTACTGCACAATGTCTGCAAAGTTGTCCGCTAATGATTCAAATAAATTCGCTACATCTTTTTTGTTGGATTTGTTTAAGGGTTGGCATAGTCTAAAAGATCAGAATAACAAACTTATATATTTTAAGCTACCAGCTAAATAAATTAGGTATGTATATTGTGTATACAGTATATATATATATTAACATTTTAATTTGTACTTCACTACCTACTACTAAAATATCAATTCATGTACCTACCGATAAGTACATTTTGTAAATTTGTGTATATGACTATCAACAATATAAAATATAGTTCATCCCTCACCTCCCCCCTCCTGGTTCAATAGAAAAATGCTGAACATGCCGCTGTTATGTTGTTATTCTTAAGCATGCCCGGAGAATTCGTCACTGGTAAGAAGCAAAATCATAAGTGATGGGAGACGAGTGGCGGATAGAAGAAGTAGGGCAGGCGGATATAAGAACTAGTGCTAGTAAATAAAGCTTTTCCCGAAAAAATATAAACGGGCGATTTATTAAGACATTAACCCTTCAATGCCCAGTTTTTTTTTTTTTACAAAACTAATTAGATTTTTTGCCCTAAACTAATTTTTTTTTGTTGAATTTGGAAACAATCTTTTGTTTGAGCTTGTAAGAAAAATTAATTTTTATAACCAAAGTACCTAGGTACCTACTAAAATAAATTTAAGTATAACTACCGCACAATGTGTTAAGAATTACTGAAATACTTCATATATACATTATAATAATTTTAAGTTTCATCTCCGATGATTTAAAATAATATTTTACACTCACAACAAATTGTATAAATCAAGAAAGTAAAGATCACAAGAGAGAAAAACCATAACTCATGTTATCAAGTTTGATTTGTTTGAAACACGTTACAATACGGGAATTGATGACGTTTGCATGTGAGTATTGATATAAAAACAGATTAGTGCATTAGTGTAGAATTTTTGTAATCCATATGACGTAGTGTAGAAACTTAGATAATACACGCTGGATAGAGCTATGACTTAAAATCTAGGCAACTAGGCCTCAATGTCATCACTGCACATGCGCGAAACAAAGTGTTTGTGGTAATAGGTATATACAACATAGAGTATAATGTGTATAACCACATTTAAGTTACCACTACACATGTATAAACCACGAATTAAGATATATGGTAATATATTATTTAGGTATATCTTAATTTCTAGTACAAACAATGATTGTGATTCCTACTCTGTCCCGCGCTATCTATTTCGTTTCTGACGCATGCGAAATAAATACATCGGGGTCAAACAGGTTTGCTTTAAGCACAGACTACTATGCTGAAGCTCTATCCAGTGTGTATTATCTAAGTGTAGGAACATAATATTATTTTAACATTTTGCATATGTTTTGCAAAAATGAGCATTGATATTGATGGGCTAAGATAGCTCGTCTACAATTTTTCATTGAGCGTGGCAATGTATGGAATCGAAATTTACCAAAGTTCTTTTAGTGGATTTAAACCTAAGTTATTAGAGCTAATTTCTATTTTCATAAATATATAGAAAAGTTGACGATCGCGATAGTTTATTATAACAGTCTTTCTGTTTTGTCTAAAATTCGAATTGAGAAACTCTGTAAATTGAAACAGACTATATTACTTGATTCATTGTACTATTTTTTATAGTTATATTTGCTACAAATATTACAACTCATACTATTATGTATATTTCTCACTACTGCGAGCACCATCCACCACTACCAAAAAAGTTATCCGTACCCCAAATTCAACGAAACTGGAAAGGAGTGCAGGTAAATAGCGGAAGATCGTAGAATATTATTATTAATTTAAACATTTTAAATATTACTTGAACTTTTTGGCAACCAAATTTGTTCCAAAATGTGTTTTGAGAAGAACGTTGATTATTTCATTAGCTCGTTTTATTTTTGTTACGCATTCGTGTTTATAAGTCGATAAAGAATTTTCGACGACCTTGAAATATTCTGTGGAAATAAAAACTGCGTTATATTTTTTCAACGAACAATAATCCGGAGTAAATTGGAATTAATTTATAACCCTATGTACCCATTAAATTTAAGATTACGCGTGTTGAAGTGACGCAACCAGGATGAATACTTTCATAGCTTACTTATATTCGTATAAATATCAATTTTAAAATAATCCGAATTCGCCATTGAAAAACTTTTAGATTTATTCATTATTCAATAATTATATACAATTTATTTTACAAACCTAACAGTTATTAGTTACCTATATGTTGTATATTACATGTATACATATATTGATATATACATAGGAGTTCAAAAAATTCCGAATTTCTAAATATAATGTTATACAATATTTAAACTTTCCTTCCTATTTTGTATAGTACCTAGACGTATTATTTTAACATGATAGTTCAACACACCTTGAAAGTCTATTTTTGCTAACAACGGGCCACTTGAAGATACAGCTATATGTACGAGATGTGGGTATTTCAGTCTTAACCAGGCAGCTAAGGACCCCGCGTAAGACCCACCAAATGCAACCCATTTAGTTGTAGATGGGATTTCATATTCCGATTGAATATTGATTATGAATCTTGCCAAATCTGCTAACGCTTGTTCACTACTCAAATATACTAAATTATCGGTAGTGATGTTTCTGAAACATTAGGTTATTTTGTACATGAATACCTATAAACATATACAATTATTATACACTATTAGATTTAAATAATTATAAAGTGAAATATTTGAATAAAAGACACTACATTTTTCCTTACATTAAGTTTAAATGATAACAATTAATTTTAATGTGTTAAATAATTATATAGAACACCTCAGAAATCCTATTGCGATATTAGACATATAGTTTAAGTAAAGGCGGTTATTTTGCATCAATGATTATTATACTAAATTTTACTATTAATATTATTCTTACTCGGTGGGAATACTAGAACCATAATACCGATGTTCTAATTGAAAACTTAATGCATTAAATTCTTGTGCATACTCAATCCAACTACCGTCAACCATCCATCTCTTTGAAATTGGACCTTCTCCTCCTATCATCAAAAACACCGGACCACCCTCCTTATAATATTCCTGATTTACTTGATATCTCTAAAAAAAAATTAATATAATTTCTGAATTTGTAAAATGTCGATAAATAGACACCCATATTATATACTACGAGTATATACAACTATTAGTACCTGTTCCCATGTTCTATTATCTGTTGGATTGAAATGATCTAGAATCTGTACAAACCATTTGTCCTCGATAGTTGTATTACTTGTTTCAATTATGTTAGGTACTCCTAAGCCAATATTGTGTTTTTTTATACAACTTGCTGGTGAATTCCACCAAAAAACAACACACCATAGCATACAAAATAAAAATTTCATTTTTAAATTGAAACCTCCAAACCTGAAAGTAATTTAACACATTCATATAATTTGAAGTGTGTATGTAATCCATTACCGCGTATGTAGCGTGTATCGGACATTCAAGAAGAATTTAAAAATACGTTTAAAATAATTTATTCTGCAATGTATGTACCTACACTAACACAAATATTCTTTTAAAGGTGAGAATTTAATTTTTTGCTATTGGAAGATATTCATAAAAAGAAAGGCAATTTAGTTGTGAAAGTGTTTTATTTAATTTGTATATGCTTTCGAGGGACATACATCGGGGGTGTATAATCTATAGTTTAGTTTAACAAATTATAGATTGCAATAAAAAAAATCCGTTTTTTTTTTATTGTAATAAATTTATGTTTATTATTGAATGGAAACAAAACCAATTTGCACCATACTTTATAATATTATTATTCATAATATTAATACATTTTTTAAAGAAAATTAAAGTAAAAATGGTAAAATTATCAATAATAATTGAATACTTATTATATACTCGTATATACAATAATATACGCTTTATGTTTATTTGCAATATTTAATTGTAATTATTTTTTTGTTTTTATAATGTTTCAGAAGATAGTTAAATCAATTTTACTTACCAAATGTGTAGTCAATAGTGAAAATGATAGCGATGTTACTTGTCGTACAACCTGGACGAAAATATTTAAGACCATCGCTTTCTGAGGTAATTAAATTAGATAAGTACTTGTTTTTTTTTTTCAATATTATTATCTTATCATTTTTTATTATTGAAAATAATATATAGAAATGCTAATACTTGAAGATTTATTGTGTACCTAATGTATTTTTTATTACCTCTTTTTTTCCAATCATTTCGATGTTTGACAAACAATTTTCAACCACTTGACCTATTTATAGATACATTTTAAAATGTATTATTATCTGATATATTCGAAATACGATTACATTTTATATTTTTGCTATTTGTGTAAGATATTGCATTCATTATACAATTTTGAAATACTCAAAAAATTAAATTTGTGTTCAATATAGGTGATATAATATAATATTAGTCAGCAACACAAAAATATAACGTAGTACCTTTAACTAATTCTCAATTATTGAGTAGATAATTGAATGCCATTGAATACATGATGTGTAAACATATTTAATTGGAACTAATGACGAATAAATAAAATTCGAGTCCTTCAGCACTCACCTATATTTGTAACGAGCCAAGATGTTTGTGGTTGGTTCGTTATAATAAAATGTAGACGTTGGAGTGTAGTTCAATAAGTTGTAGTTTATTTGGGTATTACAATACAATATAACACAAAAGCTTCCATAATAATAGTATAGATATATGTACTGATTAATATAGTCAGGGCAACATTTATTGAGGGGTTGTAGTTATAAAAATATTGCAATAACGATTAAAACTAGTCAGGGACTGGAACCTTAAAAGACCGAAACTTTTTGAAAATCACAAGACCGGAACCCTCAATAATTTTTGTTTTTAATAACCGAAACCGAACTGAAACCTTTATTTTGATATAGAGGTTTTTTCGGTTTTTTTTCGTTCTAAATTCCAATTTATAGTTTATATATTTTAAACGAGTAGTAGTTATAATTAGTATAAAATCGTAGATCTATCCACCGGTAATAGACACCTACCTAATCCATCCTCTCGTAGTCTAGTGAATGTACTGACTCCAAGCGATCATATCCTCGTGCAATCCGCGAGTTAATATTTTTTTATTGTGCTATCGTAATGTGTTCTCTTAGTATTTATTTTAAACATCTGGCGATATCAGTATTGTTGAATTATTCTTACGGCGCTTATCGCACTGGGTTTTATTATTGAAACCCAACTACGTTGTATCCATGTATTATAATAAAAATATAAACATTCCAGAAAATCCCGCAAAAGCTTATTTCCCGTATTGTAATCAGAATTATTAAACTGTTTTTGACCTTTGTGCTGCACAAAGGTTTCTTCAACATGCACAGATTGTGCATTAGTAGTTATTATAATCGTGCATGCCGCATCTGATTATAGTGAAAATATAGTATATTTATATTTTTTTAATTTTTATTATTATTTTTTTGCATATATTAAATTTGTTTGTGTACATATTAGAATACATATTTTCGATTTTTTCTGTGCATTTTTTTGCACATATAACTCATACTATAACTCCCGAGCGTGACTATAACAATACTCAGTTACGATTTGGACGGGAAAATGCCGTTTGGTAATATTATTTAATTTCGTAAAGTCTTGGAAAAACTAAAAACAAAAAATAAAAATAAAAACTAGACAATTCAGCTTGAAAAGGAATAATATTTTATTGTGTTAACACTTATAATTTTTTTGGAATGACACTCATTTTTAAATTTTTGTCTAACGTAGATAGATAATATCTTCTTTTTTCGGTTAAATATAATTTTTGGATAAACATTGATAAATTATATAGTAATATATAATAATAATAATGGTAATAATTAAAAAGACCAATTAACTGGTTTGGATAATAATAATATGTTAAAATGTATTTTCGTGATGTAGTTCAATTAATAGCCCATTCTGTACGAAGCATATCTGGAGCCACGGCCGGAGCTCATACCGGTACCTTCGTCATCTGCATCGTTGTGTGTGCACATTCTGTGATGTTGTTGATGTTGGATAGGCATCATAAACGTAGTCTCGTGTAAGTTGGCGCTTCTGCATTCTCTGGGAATATGGTGTGATCCGCGTCTAGCACTAGAAAATCAATATTATTATTACCATGGGAACTGAATGAAAGTATACTATAACAATAAATTTTGTAATTTTCTCGAACTCACACCTGTTACACTTTAAAAAAGTCCATCATAAAATACATCGATTCAAATATTTTATACTCAGTAATAATGGTGCAGTTAACTGGACTTAATATTACTTGCATAATATAAAATAAATAATTGGTAATATAAATTTTTTATGAAACATTTTCAAAGTGAAGACATTTTGGAAATTATGAACAATCGTTTTGGATCAACAAATCTTAATAGGAACGTTAAAAGAAATACGAACAGAAATATCATTAAATTAAATAGTGTATTAAATACGATTATTTCTTTTTAAAATATCGAAATTCTAAAACAAAAATAACCGTGGACAATAAATTCTAAATAGATATAACTGTAATGAAACACTAATTGATCAAAATGTTATTATTTGTCCCAAGCATTGAATTATTACAGATTATGTGTTTTTTAGATTCGGAGAGATCGGTTTTACTATGATATATATATTTTTTTCTGTCTGTGAACAACTTTTCTACCAAAAATCTTGCTTTAATGTATGAAGTGTAGAACCTTTTCTGAAAGAAAATTGTATCTATTTTGTATATATTGTGATTAAGTATTATTTTTTTAATTTCTAAGGAATTTTCATAATAATTGGGAAAACCCGGAAAAACGGCAAATATTTTTGGCACAATGCGCACCGCAATGTTATAGATTTTATTGTTCCTAATTTTTGCAAACTATGTTTTCTACTAGAAATATTACTTAAATTAAAAACTAACGATTTAATTGTTGCATTATTTATCTATTTTATTAGTATGGAAGTCGTTTTTTGATTTTTTATTTATTCTTTTAATAATTGAGCAAAACTGAAAAAAAACTTAGAAAGAACAGGAAAATTTACAAAAATAATGTTTTTATTATTTTAAATTTAGTTTTGGTTTTTTTAATTCAGATAAAAACAATCGTAGAGCCTTGTAATTTTGACATAAAATTTATGTTTGCTTTTCCTAAATGTGGTAAAATTTTCAAAACATTTAAGCCATTTTTGAAGTACTTTTAGACATTTTAATTGTACGTAGTTTTAGGTAGGTACTCTATGAATAAAATTGTTAGACTAACAGAAATGCTTAAAAATTTAACAGGAGATTCATTATAAGTCATACTGAGTGTTAAAAAATAAAATAGAATGTTATTGTAGACATTTTTCTAAAAAGAAAATCAGGCTGTGGAGATACTTTAGAAAGGTCCCCAAGAGTATTCCTAGCAAACGTAAAAAACCGAGATAAAACATGGGAACGTAGGAAAACTAGGAAAATCGGTAAAACATTAAACAAATATTATTAAAGAAAACATATAAAGCCTATTCAATTATTTTACTATAATATGACATGTATGTTAAGATGTATGACCGCAGTTGATGAATGTTGACAGTCACCAGTGTATGTTGACATCCACCAGTAACCGTAGTGAATGTTGACCAAAATACCGGCGATTGTTGACATTTACAATTAGTGCTTGGTGAACGTTGACTACACTTGAAGCGCGATGTATACTAAAAGGTATTTTCGTATTTCGTATTATTTTTTAGTGTTAAGAATTTTTTAAGAGTCCCTCAAACCTATCTAGAAAATAAAGGAAATGATAAAAATAAAATAGAGCAGGAATCTGACGGTAAAAGTGACGATTCAAGCAAATAAATGATGAAGTAAGCTCAATAATAAAAGTGACGACAAAAGCCAAAATTAATTATTAAATATGTAATTTTAAAAAAAAAAAAAAGGTATTAAAAATATAAGTTGTAAAAATGTGAGACATAAATGAAAAGAAGGAAAATGCAATTAAGAATAGAGAAATGATACTAAATTGACTTTAAATACAAGCAAATTTAATCTTGCAATCGTCCAACCAAAAAGTGAGTGATAATGTTCGAGTGCGTGTTCTAGATATTGTCATATTGACCGGCCTCATATGGATTCTAAAAAATATCTTGGTCGTAGTAATGGACGTTCATAATAATTTCTACAAATTAGGAACAAAATATGAGATTATCAATCAGCTGTACATTCGAAATCAATTTGCAGTGTGCAAAGAAAAATTGACATCATTAAACGACATCTTATCCGAACGATATCTTTGAGACAGGTATCGACAGCTGTTTCCAAAAGTTGTGGCCAAGATTTTTTGAAGATTTTATTGTAAAAAAAAATGTAACTGTAAGAATAGGGGAATATTTTACAACAGTAAATGCCATGATGGTTTACTGTGTTGTAATAAGTAAAACATAAACACATTTTTTAAATAATAAAATAATAAAATAAAACAAAATTATTTAAATGGTTAATACTCATAAATAAATAATCGTAATATAAATAATATAATAATATAAACTGGACAAAAACGGAGGAAAAACGGTAAAATGTACACAATTTATTAGTAAAATATTACGGCTTTTTTTTTCTTGTGAACAACTTTTCTACCAGTACTTTTGCTCTGAATCTGACTGGGGAGGTACTTTATTGAGGTTTTTTGTTTTTTCCAGGATTTTTCCATTTATTAAGAAAACTCCTGGAAAAACATGGGGAGACCGAGAAAAATTTATGAAAAACCTGAAAATAGATACAATATTAAACAAATATTTTATTAAAGAAAATATATAATGCCTATGAAATTATTTTACTATAATATGACATATAAATATTGTAGACAAAGTAAAATTATCAACTGAACTTTGCTCAGAATTGTTTTTTGTTAGCAATGGTTTATTGTTGCTTACAGTTATATATTAAATTTTCCCTCTTCTACCTTCTCAACTTCTCAACTACATCAGTGGTCTACGTGCGAAATTGTCCGGCTTTTGTTTATTTGTTTTTACAAAAATGTAGTTATTCATTTTTAAAATTTTACTGAGAAAAAGGATGACATAAGTCAAATATTTTTGTACACTTGATAAAAACTCGGGCGCAGTTTCCATTTGTGATTTTATGATTACTTTGGGCGCAGTTTACAATAATCGGAAAAAATATTATGCACTATACTTACTCGGGCAAGGGTAACAATCTACGTTTGGGCTTCTTCATGGGTTCACATGTCTTGGAGTTTCTTTCGATATCATCTAATTTATACAAAAATACAATAAAATATTAAAAATATATATATATTTTTTTTAAATTAATACAATAAACATTGTTATAATAATTTTTCCTTGTAGTTTATTTTATAATCGTGGAAAATGAAAAAAAACCGTTTTTAGACCTCTTTTTTTTTCCAATATGGACTTCTAGAATTATATTATGGGGTTGTGTCAGCAAGTTCAATATTGAGATTATTCAACGTTGCCAGAATATCGCTCTTCGTACTATTGTTGCAACATACCGGTATGACAGAAACGACATTATCTACTGGGTTATGTGATCACCTCCGTTCAAAATTAGATTATCAAGTTTGCTCGCATACATGAATAAAGGCTGGGTCAACATACAAATCCAGCAGCAATTTAACTACTCGGCAACTCTCAAGATATAAGGCGACTCTTACGCCAAAGACCATATGACTTAGTATACGTTTCTTAGACTAAGACCGGGGCCACTCCACTGAGAGTGGGATTCCACTCATGTTTATTTTTTTCTTTCTTGTATATTGATACACCACAAGTATTTATGTACACCTTTGAAATGTATTTTTGTAGATCTTTGATAGTTATAATAAAAGCTTTCGGACGGTTTAATAAAAATCTAGAATATTGCAAACATTATTACTCTGATTAAACAGATAAAAACCAGTAAAACTTCGAGTTTGAATCCGTAACACAAAAAAACTGTAATCGACCACAAAAAACGAAAACTAAATATGACAATTTATAGAAGAAAGATTATCGTTTGTGAAAAAACGGTAGGTATAGTAATTACAATTAATTTGAATGACAATAATACTAGATTTTTCTTCAAGTAATGTACGTTTTGCATACCTATTTAATGAAATACTTGATATACAATAATTTTCCGTTTTCCTCTTGAACCTAACCTAACGCATCAGGTTGATTAGTTACTATAATGTTTGTATATTGATAGTTGACTCAAATAATGTTGGCGATTTTTCCATATAATTTAAAATATTTATTAAATAATTTCGTTATAATTAATGTCTAATTAAATAATTTGTTGGCGTCAGCAAATCGGGTATCAGCAAATAGAGTTGTCGGTAAATCGGTACTACACGGACTAAATATATTATTTAATTATTATATTATGATGACCCGTAAGCGGTCCTATACAGTAGTTAATTATAAAGATTAAATTTAGACTTATTATCAGTTATTACATCTTATTGATTTAGTACAATATTAATTTATCAAATATAGATAATGACGGTTTTCTTACAAAATCCATGGATAGAATTATTTTCGGAATCATCGTGGTTATTTTCGGAGTAAGATGGTTGTCGTGTTGGTATGGGCCGTCTCAAGAAGTTTGAATAATCCACCTGCGAGCAGTACTAAAATATGAATGGGATGATGATTATGAACAAATATAATATGATATTATTTTTAAAAATGTGTTGTCTGTTACTATTTTGTTGCAGTTGCATAATTCCAAATCTTCACCGCATTTGGTGCAGAAGTACTGTTTAATCATTTTTGGCGATTTAGAAGGAGATATTTGAAATGTTGCATATGGTGAGATTTCGTTGTAGTCTTGAAAACGTAAAGTAAATTTATTATAGTATTAGGTAATATATAAGTAAAAATTAACTGATTACAACTGAAATAGATATACTATTTAACGGTCAAGTAGACACTTAATACTATTGTTTATTGCAAAAATTATTATTTCAGTGGTATTAATATTGTTCATATAAATTTAATACGGTAAATAATATGTTAATGTTTTACTTGGATCTTCGTTGGTTGATATGGTGCTCTTTGACTTGAACGGTACACATGTCTCATATGCATCTGAATGTACTTCGGTTTTAGATGCGGCATTATTTTCCAACATTGTATTGTTCGCTTCTACATTACGTTGGTTCTTTTTGTACAAATGTCCTTAAAAACGAAATATAAACAACTTATGAGCATGTAAAAATAACTATTACATACACGTTGTGTATAAATAGTATTTGGAATATGATATTTAAGGTATCTTATGCAAAGAACTCCGAAAACTTATATAATACATACCTATCTACAGTTTAAACTTACGGTATTTGTAACATATTATTAAAGAGATACAGACGAATATAAGAGACACTACAGCCAACGCAGCTGGCCACATCACCGTGATGCTGTAAATTGTGTGCATTATCTTTTCATTCACAGACACAGGTTCTTTGGTAGTTATTCCTAAAAAAAAATACAATTTATTTTTTTAAATATTGATTTCAAAATAACATTTTTTAGTTTGTATGTTATCTGCGAATATTTTGTTTCATATAAATACAAAAATTTATTTGGATATAAATAATATTTTGTGTCAAATAGTCATCATACTAATTAAAAAAAAAAAGTAAAATTCGTGACCATTTCGTACTAAAGTATACTAGGCATATTATTGAATATTTAACTAACCTTTAACGTTAGGGTCCCTTAGAGTTGAAGCAGTAAATATTGATGAAGTGACACCAGCAGAATTCACACATTTGATCAAAATGTCGTAACTTGTTGATGGGTTCAAAGATTCGACCGAGTATATCGTATTCGATGTAATGTTTTCGTTGACTAAAAAAAAAGAAAGTATAGTTTAATTTAGGTGGAATACTAATACGTGTATTAAATATTAAAATATTAACATATTTTGAGAAAGTAAAAATAAAACTATTATTTAGTATACTGTACTCAAATTGGAAAAACGAAAGAGGGACTATAAGACTTAAAAAAAATTAGTGTTCCTTACAATTATTGTTTTCAACGTAACCCGTGGGATGATTTGCCTCTCATAAGCCCCATATACAGACTTTTTCAGTATAGCGAGGAATATATTAGTTTGATAGGCTAAGTTTTTGTTTATACATAATACCTATACACATTTATTTTAGATTATATTATAATATTATAGATTTACTATGAAGTTTATATTTTTCTGTTTGTAAATAACTTTTCCACCTGAAATCTGTCTAATTATCAGCTTTATGGGTGATCGTTTCTGTTAGAAAAAAGGTTTTGTCCAGTTAGTGTAATGAGAAAGTAGTTTTTAAAAATATTTCTTGTATTTTTAATAATGGAGAAAAACCAAGAAAACGTAGGGAAAAATGTAATATTAACACAACCATTGTTTCTTTTATATTCGATTTTAGTTTTGTTTCAATTCAGTGAACAAAATTGTAGAGGCCAACATTTTTTATAAAAATAAAGGTTTTGAGAATTTGTACAAATTTTAAAATATTCAATTTTCAGTTATTTATAGAAATATTCGATCTTCTTAGGTTTTTATTTGATATTATGTGATTAAAATTGTTTTGGCCTAGTCAAAAAATGCTCGAAAATTTAACACAAGATTTTTCATGAGTTGCATTCAGTGGTACAAAGAATTCAGTGTAATTTAGATATACTTTTATAATGTTCAAATTTTAACGAAAATGCATTTTGATAAGAGTGTAAAAATAAGTATCGTTCAAGTAAGTATTTCAAATAAATAATAAAGGTAGGTATGCTAAAATGTCTATAAAATTATAGTTGAGGTACGAAGTAGCTCTAGTTCCCTCCTCTCGAATTCGAACCTGGGTAATATTATTTCGGATATAATGGGTAGTTATATGTCGATATATTATTGTAGTGTATAATATCCGAACAGAATATAATAATAAAATGTTAAACCCAAATTGATTCATAAAAAAATATTATACAATATATTATGATTCATGATCTAAAATAATATATGAATGTTATATATTATATATATAAGAATTTGAATTGTTAGTTCCTAGAGAATAAGAAATATTGTAACCGGAGTATAATATTATATTAAATAACATTTATTATTTTATTTTGAGAGCCGAAAAAGTGCAAAATTATATTAGGTAGATACAATTAAAAAAAAAAAAAAACCCAAGCGTTCAATTTTGTATTGATAATAAGATGTATATGTCGATAAACAATATTTTAATAGAATACATTGAACTGAAATTATTTAAATACGGGTTATTTAATACGGTAACCAAATTTACCTGGTATCCATTCTTTTTCTGTAGATAGTCTCTTAAACACTGCAAAATGTGTGATTGGACAATGTTGGGAACTCCATTTTTGCAGATGAATCAAAAATCCAGTCATCATTTGTTCGATAGCCTGAAACAAACACACACACAACCATAATTTAAAATCACAGTCCACAATTATTACAGATAGGTGTAGGTATTCATAACGTTTTAAATATAATATTAATATTAAAAATTGGTACTTCATTTTGGCGAGGGGCAGTCGGCGATTTTCCTTGCAACGTTGTCACGCGTAACGGTCTGCTTTGAATTCCATGACCCACTCGGTTACCTGCCGAAATACTGAATGAGACTGTAGTGCTACATTTGATGTTTGTCAAGGTATAACCAGTGTCCTGAGGTTTGAAAGATATTTCATTGAAAACATTTTCAAGGTCCTATTAAAAATATATATAAAAAAAATTATATTTATTGTCCGGTTTTCAAAATAATAAATGTTTAAAACTCTCACATAAATGTATTTGTAAGAGAGTAAATATTGCTGAACCGCGAACGAGTCTGGCGCTCTTGTCCAATTCAGAGTGATGTTTGTCCACGATACGTTAACCAAATCGAGTGTTGGTGGTTTCGGAGGTTCTGTATATAATAAGGACATTTTATATTAATTATTAGGTAGGTATTTTGTACCGTTATCAAAATATATGGGATTTATCAGGTGAGGTAATTCGGTGCAAATACATCGGGCCGTATACTTACTATATTATAGGTCATATATTTTTATTATTAAGTAAAAATAAAAATTGTATATTAATTTAGAGTATATTTTTAATTAGTGATGAAATGTTTAAATGTAATAATTTTTAAGGGCATATTTACGTGCATTTTTGGTGTTTACGTGGTCATAAATATTCTGCCGCCACCGGGAATTTCACGGTAGTTTCAGGTGGTGATGGTTAGGTAATACCGATACGAAAAAAAAGCCATTAATATCCTAACCCTACTAAAACATGTATGAGGTTTTTGAAAGAAAGAAGTTCTTTTTTGTAGAATATCAAGACCCAAAATTTTTTCCCCAACCAAGCATGTCAATATATACATTAGTAAATCGATTTTAGATGATTAAAGTTCAGTAGTATTAGTTATTGTTTATCTTATAGATGATGATAATTACATTGTTTTTTTTAACTTGATTTTAGATAGATACTTATTTTAGATTCTGAGTGTAGCAATGTATTGATTTTACAAAGATGTCTATTTTTTTTTTTATATTATGTACAAAAATTCTACCAGAAATCTTACTCTGATATATACGATGTAGAACCTTTTCCGAAAGGAAATATTCTTGAGGTAGTATTTTAGGGAGGACATTTTTAGAATTTCTCAAGAGTTTTTTCAAATGTGAAAAACCGAAAAACGAAGGAAATACAAGAAAATGTATGAAATATATTAATAAAATATTACATTTTTTTTTTTGTGGACAACTTTTTTACTAACAATTTTAATGTACAACAGCTGATATATAGAGCTGCGATAGTACAATTTATTTTGGAATGACAGTTTATTTCATAAATATAACTATATTTAAAAGGTCTACATAATATGTTCTTGCTTGTGGACATATACATGGTTCTCACAATTATATAAATATTGCAAATACTGATATATTAAATAATTTTCACATAATTTTTCACATTTTCACATGTGACAAAATTATCCAACAAAATCATTGAAAACACCTTTAACTTTGGAAAAGCTTTTTGGATTTAGAACTAAGAATATATTGCTACAAATGTAGTCACAGACAGAAAAACTGATGACACAAATGATTTAAATATTTCTATTGATGTTTATGTATCTGATATGTAATCTGTTATTGATAATATTCAAAAATATGTTTTAAATGAACATATAGATGCAGATGAAGAAATTATTCTCCTGCCAAATTATATGACTTGCTCAGCATAGATATTAAACTTAATTGCAACAATAACACTACAAATATCGCAGAACAAAAGTATCTAACAATTTCCAGAAGTAATTTTGAAACAATAAATGCTTTTGGAATATTTTAAATAAAAGTACAACTGCTTTTGATAAAATGTTTAAAATATGTAAGTTAACATTTCCTGTGCTGGTAGGATCACGTTTGAATACTTTTTGTGATGCATTTCAAAAACTTTTTTTTCACCAAAATAATGTATCTGAAGCATTTAATGAACTACAATTAACAAAATTAAGAAGTATTGAATGGTCATTTTTACAAGAATATTGTCAAGTTATAAAACCATTAGTGACTTCATTAGATAAATTTCAAGGTAAGGATTCATGTTTTTTGTGATTTTTCATTCCAACATTTGCATTAATGAACATAGTTTGAATACTTTTCTTCAAAACTTCATTCAAAACTGTATTAAATTTGAATCTGTCTAGAAACAAACCATTAATTTTAGCATCGGTTAGCCATCTAAAGTTTAAAATAAACTGGGTTCCACCTGTTTTCATGCAATCTTGCAAATTGTTAATTATGTCTGAATGTAATCTTATTGGTTCTATAAATAGCATACAGTAAGTCAGTCTACTAAATCTGAAGGCAGTGATGACTTTTTTGAATGCATTATGACATCATCTCAATTGTTTGATATCTACAGTGGTTACAATATAATAGCAAATTTTTAAGGGTTAATCTTTTAGATTTTTTTTTTAAAAAATTAGACAAAAACTTTTGATACATTAAGTCAATATCCAATTGTAAAATAAGTATTTATCAAATATAATACAACTCTGACCTCTTCAGCCTTAGTTGAGAGATTGTTTAGTGCAGGTAATCAAATACTGATGTCTAGAGAAAATCGGCTACAAGGAGAAACTTTTGTGCCTAAGGACCACTAAAGAATAAGTAATATAATGACCATTTTAAGTTTTTCATATTTTATGTAGAGTGGTATAATTTGTTAATATAAAATAACTTTCATAATTATTAACTGACAATTGAAAATTGTATCTATATAACATAATATAAATATAATAAAATATAAATGATAAAATATTAATGTCTATTAAATTTATAATTACCAATTTGTTTTACAATCAGCTATACTTTAGTTATTTTATAAATTATCAAAGTATTATCTTGAAGTTTTATTTAAATTAATCTATTATCTCATCTAGATGATTATATTAAAAAATATCTATTATCTTATCTAGATAATTATTTTATTATCTATTCCTAACACTGTAAATGATACTCCACTAATCTACTATTACCCAAACTTAAAATGTATTTTTTAAATGTTGTGAAAATCTATGTATTCGAAAATATCAGGTTTAACTACACATAAAAATTCCAAAAATCAGAATTTAAATACATGTAAAATGTATCCAAAAAAATGGGTTGAGTACGCTTAGTGAATACCTGTGTATATTAATAATTGAATATATTAATATACTAAAATTAATTATTATATATTAAATTTAAACATATACTGTATACTTAATAATACTTATTACTAACCTTAAAACATAATACCTCTGATACAGAAAATGATGCAACTTTATATAAATAAAATCTTCAACAATAACATATTGTGCAGATACTCACAGTAAAGAAAATTCAAGAATAGTTTAGTTTTAATAGCAGCACTTTTCAGATCCTGATCTAAGAAGAAAAAAGTTAAATATAAAGGTCATTGAATTTTTAAAAATATTTTTCAGTATCCATATTTAAGTAAGAACTGTGAGAATGCAATTTTATTAGAAGATTCTTTATTAAACAGTCCATCTAATAACTAAGACAAATTATTCACATTGTAAGATTATAATGATGAAGACAAGCATTTTGCAAAATGTACAGTGTTGGTAAAAAAAAAAAAAAAAAAGTCAAACAAATAGGCTGTAAATTTGAATATTGATACAAATAGCATTACAATTGTCAATTTGAACTTCTTAGAAAATACCAACTGTTATGTATGCATATATAATATATGTTTATTTTAAATTGCTTTATAGTTTCCATGCATATTTTTCTATAATACATATTAATTATTGAACATATTTCAAAAATATAAATAATAAAATAAAATATTAATATACTAAAAATAATTATTATATATTAAATTTGTATACATACTGTATATTTTGCAATACTTTTTTTTTTACTGTATTCTTGATTAGAATAGCATAGCATAGTTACAGATTTGTATACATATTTTTACTTTGACTATTTTGTTCTTGGTTTATTTTCATTTAAGCAACAAACCATTCTGAAGAATGTTTTATTATATTTTCAAAATGTAAAATTTGAAAAGTATATTTTACCTCACACAGTCACAAACATAAAAAAGATTAAACAAAAAACTAACCAAAATTTGATTTAAAATAACTCTTTATATTATGATATTATTTATATTATTACACAATATAGAAATGTAATGAAAAAAATAATGAAAAAATTAATTTTAATTAAATATAAAAAAAAAAGACGTCCTAAAATAATGTGGGCGGGTGCATACATATTTATACATAATTTAATGTATACTTATAAGTAAAAATTAAATAAGTATTTAATGATAAAATTAATAATACTAATACTAGTACTAATAGACATAATTAAATAATTTAATTTAATGTTATAACGCATATTCCGTTTTCATCTGTTTCTTCTTCTTCAGAGGAATCTGTAGGCATATCTATTGAATAATTGTAAGATCCTTCTATATGTTCAGTTTCAGTTTGTTGATTTAACTCTGAATCCTCACTATCGTCATCTGAGCATGACAATGTGATTTCTTGAATTTGATTATTTGAAGACACAGAGCTATTTGAAATCACTCTTTTTTTATCAAACCATGATCCATCTTTGAATAAAATTACATTATCAGATTCCTCACTTAAATTTGGACTCTGAAGAATATGTAAAAAATATTCATCCACTTCGATATCTTCGAATTTAACATCTTTCTTACACAATGGACATGTCCATGTTTCCTTTAGATTGTTCAATTCTAAGAATTGAAATGTGTCAAAACATTGCAGATGTACACAATGTACACCTCGGGCAGGTACTATCATTCTTGTTTTGCTCAACGGGTCCTGAAGTGAAGTGGACATTGAGTCCACACCCATATCAATATCACTTTGCATTGAATTTTTTATTTGCTCTTTAGTTTTTTCATATTTACGTTGTGGTCTTCCTTTGACTGTTACAAGTAGTTCGTCTGGAGTCAATTTCTCAACTACATACATATTAGCTTTAAATTCAAATAGATCTTGAGACCATGTAACATTTAATGAATTCCATAAACGATTTTCGTTAAGTGTTTCTTTAGTTAATTCTATAGGAATATTACCTCGCCATGGTCTAATTACCTGGCCACGGCCATTTTCATAGATGTTTAATGTGGGTAATTTACATTTTTTACCATTTACAGAAACTGTTAAGTTGTGTGGCAAACGTTTATTCATATTTTCCTTGGGTTTAAACTGTTCAAATCTTAAAACTATTTTTATTTTAAATTCTTGTTTAGGAATATTCCATGTTTCTTTAATAGATTGTCTAACCTTATCTTCCAAATAAAAAAACCCACTATATTGGCATGAATACATGTGAATATTAAAGATTATAGGATCCATTAAATTTTTAATTGGCTTAAAGAATGGCATATTTTTAAATTGTATAGTGCCTTGACCAATGGTTGATAGTTGGCGCTGTTCAAAACTCAGGCTTGGCGTTGAAAAAACTTCGGGTGCACGGGATGTTGAAGGTTGATGCAGATCTGGTTGTTGTGTTCTAGATTCATAGATTTGTACGATTTTTTTTCGTAGACTTTTCATTTTTGATGAGCCGTCCAATACATGTATAATCCGATCTCGTAGTAGTTGTTTACTACCAAATTTAGCTACTTTCAAAAATTCTAATATTTCTTTTAATTCATTTACATTTAAGTCGTACACTAACTTGTGTACATATTCTACATCATCCTATGAAAAAAAAAAAAAAAAAAAAAAAAAAATAAAAATTAGGAACTAGTTCACATACATTATAAATTAAAAAAATATTATATTATTGCAGCAGTTTTTTTTAACTTTTTAGCTCACGTGTCCCTTTTTGTACCAAAGTAAGTAAGCAGTAAAAAACTATAGTGAAATTCTCAAAGAACAGAAATACAAAATTAACACTAAACTAATAAGATAGAAAACTGCTAAAAAAGTGAAAATGAAATGAATGTGTAAAAGGTGTGACTTATGGAAACCAATAAAAAAAAAAATCGTATAATCTATATTGGTTGTTGAATCCCTTACATTTTCCCAAGGTACTAGAAAGCATAGTTTGAGAAACACTGTATTATTAAATATATTTATGGTAAAAAATGATGATGATTTTTTAAATAAAAATTGTATATATTTTATTTTAAATCATATTATATTTCATGAAAGTGTATAAATATTATTATAAATTTAAATATAAGGTATATATTTTAAGAATTAGTTATGATAAAAATAACAAAGGTAAATTTTACTATGTTAATATTTGATTACTCTAATTGAGAAATTAATTACTTTTTAAAATTTGTATAAACTGTAAGATATTAGGATGAAAATTATTTCAGTTATTTACTATAATATTATTAATATTACTGTACTAGTTGATTAGTACTATCTACAGCATGGAACCTAAGCTGTAAACTATCAACTAAATCTGGCACCCAACTATTGTAGATTTTTAATTATGGTGCCTAATTCATATGTAATATTAACAAGATATGTGTTGAAGGATATTGAATATTTTTTTTTCTTTTTCCATAATGGAAACAAATCTTAAGTGATGAATTAATGAATATAACTTAATCTTCCTAACTTACAAATCATTATATTAGAGTTTGTATATTTATTAAAAAAAGTTATAAGTAGAAAATTAAAAATTATTGTTATAAGAACTACACAAACTTATGTGGTATGTAATTACTTATAAGAGAGTAAAATAAATTTAGGCAATAATTCTATAAAACTATTATACCAATGGTAAAATGATCAATAAGTACCTACTATCTGTACTTGTCTCCATTTTTGAGGTACAATATCAGTTCAAAACATTTTATGATATTCATTAAGTCTTTGACAGGCACTTTAATTAATATAGATCAATACAGTTTTACACAAATCAATTAAATTTATTTCAGGTTTTTGATGTTTAAAATAATTAAGGCCATCACTTATTTTGTTATACTTATAGACTTTTTAAAGCAGATTATTTGTTTATTGGTGACATATTACTATTTATTTGTTTTTGATTATGCAGTATAATATTTCATTATTTCACAATAGAGTATAAATGTCAATGATTGGTACTTATTTTTAATAAAAGGTTTTAGTAAAGTGAACGTTTTCTATAAATTGGTGATTTAATCTATATATGGGGAATGCAAAAGAATTAAAAATTAAACCATAAATATATAATAAGTTTATCAATTCATAATTTGAATTTCAATGTCCAAAGAAGATTATTGAATAAAAATTAGTATCAATATTTTGAAATTGTATATTCTCATTATAAGGCCATTCTATGCTAGGTATCTATATTTTTGTATAATTGATATTATCTAGTTAATAAATTAATGTTAGTAATAAAATACATAACAGTAAATTCTGAAAATATATTTGACAAAAAAATCAAGTTTGTCATGATAAAATTTAATAAAATTATTATTTTATCATTAATATAAATATTTAACCAATATCTTTGGATGAACAATTAATTTTTTAAGGTTTAGTGCATTTTATTAAAAGAAAATCATGTTTGGTAAATTATTTTTATATATTTTTAAGGCATGTGAGAAAGGGTGGAAAAATGACAGGATTATTGTATTGACATTAACCTCTGTGCAAGAATAAAACATTTTTTTTTTTATTTTTCTTAATAAATGTACTAAAAGGTAAAAAAATATATTACTTATATATCAAATTATTGCAAATAATTTTCTTAGACGATTTTTGGTAATATAAATACTTAACCAATAATATTAATTTACCTTTGAATGAACAATTTATTTTTTTCTTTTTAATGAATTTTTTAAGAAAATCATATTAAAAAAAAAAAGACTGACATACTTCTCAAAATGGGCCCGTGCACTGTTGTAGGTGAAAAGTTGGGATACAGAGGGAAGTTTTATGTATATCTTTACACATCGTATAATCTTTGAATTAAGCTATAGCTAATTGAGCTATGATAACATAACAATACAGAATAACGATACCATACAAATGATACAGAAGGAGGCTTGAATGCATTGCCCGAATGTGGACCAATGAGGATAAAATAGCTAGAGGAATTTGAAAGTCGGACTCTAATAACAAAGATTGAAAATCACCCATTCTATTATACTCAAATATATTAATTTTGTTTTGGTTTATTTTATGTACAAAACTTTGTTTATACCTACTTTGTTACATATACGGTTCTTTATTCTATTTTATTTTATATGCTGTTAATTTTAATCTAAATTAAAAATTGTATTGTTATGTTCTATTTCAAGCGTCAAATACAAAAACAAAAAGTTAAAAGTCTTTTTAATATTCTTAATAAGTAACGAGAACAGAGTAAGTTTAATTTGCATAGATATGTATATCTACAGTACACAATGAATTGGGATTATCAAAATGGGTATAAACCGTATACGATAGGTGGAGGGATTAACTATACTATAATTAAAGGTAAGTACAATACATTAAAGGTACTTACATATAATTTTCGTGCCATGATTTTAATTGACGATGGATCTTTAATATTGAAACAATTCACGTTCAGAATTCACCACTATAAGTGTAATCACCACTTGAAAAAGTAAGCATTAAGCATTTAAACGAAAATGAATCACTATTGGCTATTCGCTATCGTTATCTGTAAATCAACTATTTGTTTTAATTTATAAAATAGTACAATTAATTGAGTTTTAATATTGAACGTTATAAATTCAGATAAGCAAGAATTTACTATCTACGGAAAACGAAAAACATATGTTGTTTATAAGACGCGGACATTTACAGTGTTGCCAAAATGAACACATGAGAAAAATCAAATATTGTTTGAAAAAAAGTTGTGTTTTTTTTCTTTCATTAAGCTAGTGTAATACATTAAATATTTAGTATTGGAAATAAACGATCGAGCATGATATTATTCAACTACCAGTTTCCATAACAATTAATATAATTAAAATAATCCACGCGTTCTATATATCGTATATTAAGCACGTGTCTATTTTGAGCATTTTATATAAACGTGCATTTCGCGACAATTATTCATATCTTATTTAAGTAACTTTATTTTCCATACACGCACTCTACCACATTTCATATAAAAAAAAAATCAGCACCACCCACCTACTATCATCGTACATATCGCTCGATATGTACCCCGAGTTCGGCGCCACTGATAGTAGGAGCAAAATGCAATGTCGTCTAAACTTTATCCGATAATCCAAATACACACTATGAGTGCTTGATCGTGTGTGTGCGAGGAAAATTTAAACCATGGTCATATGTTAGCATTTGGACGATATACAGCGTCATCCCAATAACAATAAAATAATATCATGAGAAATCAGTTTTTTCCTAGGTCTATGCAATTTATACGCACACAGAGAACATTATATCCGGTGATAACATTTAATATAAGAACGGTTAACCTCTAAAGGGTCCCATATACGATACAATTAATTGTACGACATATTGTACAACTTTGTTTGATACGATATCATAAATTATTATCGTAACGCGTATATTACTGTACGTGTAGTACGACGATATGAAGTTTGAACGTGTATAAAATCTGTTGTACAAGTTCGCCATACGACAAATCGTAGTATGGTCACTAGCCTCCCCTAATAGGTTTGATCAATTTAATAATAACATGTTGCTTGTTATCATAACGCACATGTGCGCTAAAACTGATAATATAATTTCTAACAAAGATTGAAAAGTAGTTTCATCCGTTCTTAAATATTTTGAAAGTTTCTAGGTTCATAACTACCAATTCGCGAAATAAATTGACATTTAAATATATATTTATTTTTAGTAATCAATTTATACACTATTTTCTTTTTTTTTTCATCAATATTCAATAAAAATGCTATGAACATTGACATGGGAGCCATACAAAGTTAATATTTTATTAAATTGTTTAATTTAAATACTTATTACACCTAGCTATATTGGTAAGTATTTGATACTTATTCCATATTTATTTATCAGTCTTTTATCAATAATAATTTCATCATTGCTGTTATTTTTAACACTTTATTAAAATATGATAAGTAATGAATCCTAACCTTTCAAAGTAAGGAAACAATTTTTGGTCCAAAAGCGTAAATGATAATTTGTTATAGGTATAATATAAGACATACCTTTCTAAGGACTAACCAATAGGTCAATCTAGTATAGGATACCTGGTGATATTTGCAAAAATGACTAATTAGTAATTTGAGAGGGGCTAATTTCTGTGTGTAACGTTTTGAGCTAGCTTAGACTCCTCAAGCCCTCCTACACAATTTCCATCAATGCCTGGTGTAAACTGAGCCATAGACGGCAACGCTAACACATTGTATTGCACTAACTATACATACCTGTAGTTTGTTTGCTTTTTATAAAATAGTGTAATACCTATTATATTATTATACTTGCCGACTACTATCAACGAAGTGGTGACGTTTTCCGACCCGTATACGTTCCAGACCGAGCACGTGTAATTCCCGGAATCCGAGCTGGTCACGGTTTCTAAATGTAATGTGTAGTTATCGTAGATAAATCGTCGAGACTGAAGGTTGATGATTTGGTTTTCGTAGGTCCATTTTACGTTTGGAGTCGGGCTACCGGAAATTATGCAAGGGAGATCGACGTTCACGTGCCATTTGGTTTGTATTGTAGCGTGGAAATTACCGACGGCCGCAATAATTCCTAATTAATATATTAATGTTTAATAATAATAACTAATAAGTATATATTGAGGTATCCTATAATAGCTGAATAAATACGGGATTAGTATGTATATAATATCAAAAATAGCGAGTCGGTTCGTCTATAACGAAAAACGCTTTACGCAAAGAGACTATAATATTTATATAGTCAAACCGGGTATCGAAAATCTGTCCTGTAAAATATCTGGAAATTATTTAAAATTTACGATTGCAGTGTTGTTACAGTAAGGCCTGTGTCTATAAACGTAGGCACTTGTAATTTAACATATTATAGTATATAGGTGTAATAATAATAATAATAATATGTGGAAATCAGCCGTAAAATAACATTATAACGGAAATATGACCGTTTGAGTATACTTTTCGTAAAAAAACTATACTTGCAACTTTAACACGGTGTTTAAGTACCGATGAGTATGTATACACTATAAGTTTCAATAACGTGTATGGGTTTTAGGTACTAAACTTATCGATAGATAATAGATATATGTATTATTTAATGTCAGTTCTATTGCAGGCAATTACGGCCGTAGATAGAAATATGCACAGTCGGTGCTTGGCGATATCCGATATAAGTAATAATAATATTTAATTTCTGAACTAAATACAGTTTTCCACACATCGGCTATACAATGAGACGTTAAAACTCGATTTTGGTATTTAGGTTTTCCGAGAACATCGACTAACGCATAAATAGTGTGGTCCTTATTTTTTGACTTAAACAACATTCGATAAGAAATACCCCAAATTCTATACTAGATCTCACCACCCTCGCTTTCCCCCTTCTCATAACAACCTCACTATAAACTATAAGCACCTATATATTTTAATAAGAAGATTGTATAGATCGGCGCCTCAGTTTTTCAATAGGTTACTACTATACTTATGTTGGTATAAATAATATAGAATATCGTAGTGAAATTTAAAAATTGATAACATTTTAATTTAAAACAGAGGTAAAAGAATATTTTGACAGTTTTCGTAATTTTAGCGAGTTTAAACTGAATATCTGAAAATAAAACAAATAATAAACTATAATATTATATACGTATATAGAAGTAGTTTTTTCAGTTGTAACAAATTCGGGATAACCGATACCCGGATGGGCTATGCAAAATTGCCCAAACGGGCAATATTCTTGGGAAAAAAGTACCCAATAAATGACATGTCGCTATTAACCGACGAGCTCATTGTTGTACATCCGATTTTCGTGATTACGTGTATTGTAGTATAGTTAGTTACCGCCGGATTTTTCAGTTGATAGAGAACTTGGTCGCGATTTTTCACTTTCTCCCATACTGTTCGTAGCGGTTACCCACCACAAATAGGTACTTGTATGTTTGAGCTTGGACAATTGTATCTGACGGATATGCGGTTCGAATATCTGCGACTTCACGGTACCTTGCAATCCGTTTAATTTCTAAATGTAAATCATAAAAATATTAGGCGAGCGTTGATTGCAAGTTGTGATCATTTTTTATAATTAATGTTGTTATTAAAAACACCAAAAGCGTGTATTGAGTCGGGGAAAAAATTGTTTTTTCACGAAATCAAATAAATTATTACATTATACATTATTGTAATAACAGTAGTAGAGATATGTATGTTCTGATGCAGTTGATATTTATCACATCATTAACAATACTTTTTACACTATTTTTTTATCAATCTTTTAAATATCAAACTGTACCAGAAACATTTAACAAAACTATTTAAAAAAATATTTAAAGTAAAAATAAAAATTTAGCCCATGATCCCCCAATTGATTT